GGTTTGATTTCATCAGGGATTAACCCGGTGAGGCAGTTGTTGACAAACGTTGTGATTTCTGTCAGGAGCGCTTCTGCAGCTGGGCCAAGAACAGGGTTCACCATTTCCTTCACATGTTGAGGTCTTACCCCTGTGTAGCCTCCTGAGGAGCCCGGGGGAAATGAAACGATAGCTTTATAAACCTCTGACTCCCGGAGGACGAGAGGTTCCTGATTAGGGGCGAGCCTGACCTGTGGGGGAGGTTCACCTACGGCCCTGAGGGGGTGTTTTTCTCTCAGTGCTTGGGCTGTGGTTTCATCCCTGGGCAAAATTTTGTCCTCACTTGTGATTAACCTGAGTGCCCCGACTGTATTGCCCTCTTCAATTTTCTTGCTGACTTGGGTACCTAATTTTCTGTTGTCGCTGATTGTCGTACTTGGTCTGCCTCGGCGGTGTTTGGTGTGTTTGGGGAGGCGGACTAGGTTGTCAGCCCTCGGAAAATCCCTAATTGCTTTATTGACGGATGAGGCCAGTGTCTTGCCTCCTCTGTCTGGTACACCTAAGCATGCATTGCCAAAAAGTAACAGATTGTGCCAGGCTTTGATGGTATCAGGTGCAACAAGGTTATTTGACCCTCTGTTGACTTTTGCGATGAGGTCCGTGTATTTCCCTGCAGCAAAAGGGCGAGAGGCCTTTGGGATGTGGGTGAGTGTCCTGGTTGACGTTGCTTTAATTGCCTCTAGCAGGTCGTCTGTTGCAATGTAATCTGTTGCGATTTGTACTGGTGCAACAGGCTCCTGAGTGCTGCCTCCTCCCACGGGAGGCCTCCCTGACCCAGGACAGTCACCATGCTGGCGTATGACTCTGGAGACAGAGTTGATGCTGACGTTGTTCCCACAACCACTGCATGTGCCTCTCCTTTGATTGGCTTCGGGAGGGGTGAGCTGGCTGTATATATATATATATATATATATTATATATATATATATATATATATATATATATACATATATATATATATATATATATATATATATATATATATATACACATATATATATATATAAACTAAATAAACCTCTATATAAATAAACAATGTAGTAAACATTGTGTGCCTGCGCACTCTACTAAATGCACAAATACAACAGAACATCATGAAATAAACTAAAATTAAAAAAATTACAAGCTTTCGGGTATTGTCATTCAATACATAGATTATAATTAAAAAAGATGAGTTCTTATTAGTTTTGGGTAAAATATATCTGGAAATTTTGTTAATAAAATAATTAAGGTGGACTTAGACTACAGTACTTTCTAATTACTGTACTGTACTGCTTTCTTGCAAGTTTAATTTCTTAACAGCAAACTTTCTTATTTAAAAATAATCAAATTTTCTATTAAAATGCCATAAACCATTAAGAAAGACAATACTTTCATTATTTACCGGTATAAAGCTTTCTTTACATGGAAATCCTCTTTTTTGTACCATACAATAAAATAACTTTTCTTTGAAAATAATTCAGTCTTTTTGTGTAATGTTCACATTTTCAGCTCAACTGCTTTACGAGTATAGTACAATAAGTTTTGTAAACATGCTAATGGGAGTCTTTATCTTAAAACATTGTCCAGGCACCGCTTGGAAAATTATCCACGAGTTTAAGACAAAATGGTCACACTGAAGCTATTTTATTTCGCTGTTTTACCATACAAGGAAATGAGCCCAAAGTCTTATGTAATTTTCCAAGCACAAGGTTCTCCCCAAAATAAAGTAATATAAAGCTATTTACTTCAATTTTTCACCAGGTACGGTGAATTTTGTATACCATATCATATAGTTAATTAGTTTGAGATTTGTAATCAACAACAACCATATAATTTTAAGAATATTAGCCTATAAGCAAAGTATATCAGTGACCATAGAAGTATACATGCACTGATATGCTAAATATAGGGGGAAACCCCCTGCTAGCATAAGTACAATATATAATATTATATTTTAACCCCATATGAAATTATTTTAGACATTTTAATAACCTTAATATTAATAATTATTACCAAAGAAAATAACAGTATTAGAACCCCTTCCCTATATTGCCTTGATCCACTCACAGATAGACCTGATGTCTCTGTTCACCTAGCAGTAAATAGGTACCTGGGAGTTAGACACTTCCTGGGGAAGTGTGTGTGTGTGTACATGTATGTATGTGTTAGAGAAATGTATGTAGTAAACATATCAGAAAAATAGGTTAGAAAGGCGGGGTCCAAGAGCTAATAGTTCGATTCTACGGACACAAATAGTAAATACACCCCGTGGCCACAATAGCCAAGTGCATCGTTCTATCAACGTTGAGGCAACCTTTATAACGTTGAATTGACGTTGCTCTTGGATTTTGTGCTCACTGGGACCATGAATGGTAATATTTCCAGGACGAGTCAAATATATTTCGTATCGTAATTGTCCCATTCTCCTGAAATGATACTGCTTATAGTAACTATTTCGTCAGAAGTGCCAGTATGTAAAGATGGACCACCAGAAAGTTCGCTTTTTTTTTTGTACTTTGAGTTTTATCGTCCGAAAAACTAAAATTTTAAACTAAATTAAACATTCCTAGGCCTAGTATAGCACATATATTTATTATATTAGTCTTAATATAGTACATACATGTACTATATTAGTTTGATAGCATATATTAGGCCTAGAATTGGTAGGAGAGGTTAGGTTAGGTTCTATATTTTTTTGCAGTAAAAAAGTTTCACATTTGTACAAATTCATTAATACAAAATGTAAGCTTTTGGTGGTCCATCACTACATATTGGTAGTTTCTACCAAACAGTTACTAAAAGCGCTATTGTTTTAGGGAAATGGGCTGCTTAAATCAGATATTGTTAGGGACTCTGATGTATTATATAGCTAAGTATATGTCCTGCCCTCGTGTCGGTATCCTGAGTAATTTATTAGTAGCCCGCTTTTACCTGTAATATAAATACCACAGTTTTATAATGTTAAGCTATGCTGATTTAGCACTTTGTTCTGACGATTACTTTTCATAGCTTTAGCAGCTTGTTTAAGTTCTCTCTAAAGAAAAAAACTCTCGTATTATTTTAATCTTTTTCCTACGGACCTCTTATTAACAAATATAATCCTGACGTGCTAAATTTAATGATATACTTTTGTTTACTCAAATATTTATGAGTATTTTTCCGATTCATAATTTAAATTGATTCGGAAAAATTGATAAATCAGAAATTATGAGGATTTCTCCGCTTCTCATCTAATATTTGTATGAGATACCTATTCCGTTGATTGTTGTGAGTCAAAGGGTAGTTTAGCTGTAACTAAACCTTCATATTCTCACTAGAAAGTGATCTAGTAAATATTAACCCTTGATCATGGCTCCTTTGTAGGGGATGAGTCAGGAAAGGAAATTTTATATTTATGTATTGAAATTCATTAATAGTTTTCTTCTGTAAATAGACTCTGTATATTATGTGCATATACTATAGTTGTATACATGTGCTTGTTAAAATACTGATGTGAAAAATATAATATAAATACAAATTAGGTATAGGTAGGAATGACTAACAAATTTGCATCAATTCAGTCACACGATCATCACTTCTTGTATGCAAGACGTCAGCGTAGCTCTCACCCTCTAACTAATCAACCCGTCCTCTTAATACAGCGTCACATTTTGACGTATACTTCACCTTATGGCCAAAAAAAAATTGTCGTACCTACAAAATGGAAGCGGCTCGCGAAATTAAACATACTGTCTCGTTTTCAGTTTTGGGTCTTCTGGTTAGGTTAGGATAAGTGGGAGGGGGCACTTTAGTACAACAGTTTCTTGACGCTGGGAAAGTTTAGGAGGACGGGTTGAACTATATAAGCATAACAATCACAGATCTATATTTGTGCAGTACTAGCAGCTAAATATAAAGCTGCATTTTACCATATTAACAGGTAGAGATAAGTGTGAGCAAACTTTTGCACCCAAGATGCACGTTCTAAATATGCTTGTATCACATATTTCCCCATTATAATTCTTCGTATTTTTAAATTAAAAACTATCATCATATGAAAAAAATATACTACTTCATATTATGAAAAAAATACACTACTTCATATTATCACAATGAAACAAAATTGTACTACTACACATTATCACAAGTAGATTAGAAATACAAAAGCTAGCGATATGACAAATATTACTACTGTACAACAGGGATTGAAAATCATTCAACTAATAGTTAATTTGGGACGCAGAACTTGAGCAGAGGATGACCACAGCAATGGGACATACAACAGCCGAGTCAGGACTGGATACCTCTGTGGTGGGAAGGTTTGGCACCACATAACTAGATTATCAAACACTGGAAACCTCTGGGATGGGAAGGTTTGGCACCACAGAAAACGATCAGAGCATCAGAGGCTAGAAAGGTTTGGCACCGGAAATTATCAGACCATTAAAGGCTGAAAAGCTTGACAGCCACAGAGGTCACCAGACCATCAGAGGCTGAAGGTCCCAAGGGATAGCTAAGGTCATCATTACCAGCATGAGTCAGACTAGAGGAGAGGCAGCGGTTGAGTAATGGCATCAGAAAATCTGTAACTAAATCTTCAGGTCATATTCTCACTAGAAAGTAACCCTTGACTATGGCTCCTTTGAAGTGGGGGGGGGGGAGTCATGGTCAAGTCTAGGAAAGGAATATTGTATTTATGTATTGAAATTTATTATTAAATAAAGCTCAACACAGACAAAAATATAATAAAAATTTCTGTAGCACTTATATTTAGGAGTACAATGCCAATTTAGTTTAAGTTTTAAACTATAAATATAACAGAGCTTTCTTAATGTTTTACATCAATATCCATTGAGGAGGAAGATTATCTAAGGATCATTATCTGATTCTAAGCCCATTTCCACTTTAGCCTTCAATTAATTGAATTTACCGAATGCAAGGATGTCTTCGTCAAATTATAAATTTTCTTGAATCCAGTAAGTCAAAATTAAAACGTATGATTTGCCTAGGACACGTAAGGTTTATTAAGTTAAAACGTAATCAAGGATTACATAAACAAATGGCCATTTATCAACAGCAATAAGCATTGTTACGTTGAATTAGAAGTAGAAAAATGTACGCAGTCAATACAAATAATCACGAGATATTATTAAACTAATAATTGATAATACATAAAATATATTACAATATTTATTTTAAAAATGTCTGTGTATTATGGGCAAATTTTGCTATTTTGTTTAACCAATTCATGTTCTTAAAACATAAATGAGCCGAGGCTATGTCAGGCTGAACAAGCGTATATAACTATATAGGATCTATGTCTCCCTTACTAGTTATTGAAATAAAACAGAGTAAGCAGCACCCTCATGTTTAATATTATAGAAACATGAATAACTTAAAAAGACATGCCCTCAAACCTGCATTTCTACCCTAACATCTGTTGCTGGTACAGTACCTAAACAATTTATGTAAAGTATTAATGGCATCAAAATTATGATGAATGATAAATACTAAAATGAAAACTAGCTTCCAATGATGAAAAACCTTTATATGAGATAAATGTCTCAGAATTTATATGCCCGTGGTAAAATATATAGACAATATTTAACCTTAATAACATTAGAATTCAATTTAAGGGTTGGCTAGCCTTATATTTCATTGACAACTTTATACTGTCATATTTTTTTTTTGCTTTTATGAAGAGAAGGAAGAGTAAGTAGGTGTGACCAGGTAGCCGGGGCTGATGTTAGGTGAGGAAGGCCATCAGTATTCCCAGGAGTGTACAGGCCAAGAACGCCACCACCACACCAGTCACCATCCAACACAGACAACGGCGCCTTCTGACTGTGTTGACACTCTCCTCACCCTGCAACAACACCCTCATATTATACCACACTCTCCTCACCCTCCATGTTGTTGTTGTTTTAGATTTAGCTACTCAGTACTAGGGTGAGCCCGTAATTCGGTTATTCGCGATAACCTTGTTACTCTGATATTTGGGTCAAAGTTTTAAATGGAGGTGGGGTTTCCTCCTTTTTCCCTGTTGCTTTTTCGCTTCTGTTTTAGTCGTGTTTTATCACTCTGTAACAACACCTTCATACCACACTCGTGACGTTTCGACATGTTTCCTTACACCAGGTGCCTATGTTTACCTAGCAGTAAGTAGGTCCCCCGGGAACTAGGCGACCGTGGTGGGGTTGCCTCCTGGGTAAGGTCAGTCAGGCGTTCGCCTCAAGCACTTCAATCAAATTAAAAGATTTCCTATCATCCACAATGGGGACACACATGTCCATTTGTGTTCTAATCCACCAAATATCTAGAGGCAGATGAGATGTATTATGTTATAGTGAACTGTGTCATGCATAAAATCACACAAACACACACACATATATATATATATATTCACATATGCACACAACTCTTTTATATTTAGCTCTAGACTTATGAAAGGAGACTAGCACGAGAGTGTCGACACACACACACACAAGCATGAACTCACCACAGACTCTGCTTCAGAACAGACGGAGTCATTGTTGTCCTGGCAGGAGTTTGAGTCATCACTTATGGCGGCCAGCAGTTGCTTCTCTGTCAGCTCGTCCATGATCCACGCCTTCATGTCTAGGCTGCTTTCCATCACGTTAATCAGGTTTCTTAAGTCTATCAGTTCCCTGTCATAAATAAAATTATCTTAAATATTTACGTTAATGACATACTAAATTGTGAAATGGATATATTTAACCAGGATATTTATACTTAGTACAGAATATATCTAATCTTTGCTATAGCTAGTAACGTGGGTGTTGATTGGCTTTATATTTGTTATGGAGTTACATCAGATGAGGCTAGACACTTGTTTTTTAAATTTTGAGAACTAGTCTTGATGTTATAGTTTTAGTAAGTAAACTCTGAGCGAACAAGGACTCATGCTGTTCCTTATGCATGTCGGTGTAGAAGATTAATGTTGGATTTGTAATGGAATACCTTCAAGAAATGGTTATTGTTTGTTAGCTCTAGCCCTATAACTTTCTGAACATTCAGATACTGCATGATTTATTAATTTGTATTTATATATACAATGAGGTTCATTAGGCTTATGAGAGTACATACCATTGATTTTACAATCTTGCCAAGTCACTAATACCCATAAGAGTTATGAGCGTTTCGTTTTCGTTTGTGTATTGTGTTTGATTTGGGATAACTATGGTCATCCAGTGTTGAATTTATTCAGTGTATAAATAGTATCAATGGAGTTGACCAGACCTGGCTGATACCTGGTTGATGGGGTTCTGGGAGTTCTTCTACTCCCCAAGCCCGGCCCGAGGCCAGGCTTGACTTGTGAGAGTTTGGTCCACCAGGCTGTTGCTTGGAGCGGCCCGCAGGCCCACATACCCACCACAGCCCGGTTGGTCCGGCACTCCTTGGAGGAATAAATCTAGTTTCCTCTTGAAAACGTTCACGGTTGTTCCGGCAATATTTCTTATGCTCGCTGGGAGGACGTTGAACAACCGCGGACCTCTGATGTTTATACAGTGTTCTCTGATTGTGCCTATGGCACCTCTGCTCTTCACTGGTTCTATTCTGCATTTTCTTCCATATCGTTCACTCCAGTACGTTGTTATTTTACTGTGTAGATTTGGTACTTGGCCCTCCAGTATCTTCCACGTGTATATTATTTGATATCTCTCTCTCGTCTTCTTTCTAGTGAGTACATTTGGAGGGCTTTGAGACGATCCCAATAATTTAGGTGCTTTATTGCGTCTATGCGTGCCGTATATGTTCTCTGTATTCCCTCTATTTCAGCAATCTCTCCTGCTCTGAAGGGGGAAGTGAGTACTGAGCAGTACTCAAGACGGGACAACACCAGTGACTTTAAGAGTACAACCATTGTGATGGGATCCCTGGATTTGAAAGTTCTCGTAATCCATCCTATCATTTTTCTGGCTGTCGCAATATTTGCTTGGTTATGCTCCTTAAACACACCACACACACTAGAAGGTGAAGGGACGACGACGTTTCGGTCCGTCCTGGACCACTCTCAAGTCGATTGTCCTGGGCCATTCTCAAGTCGAGTACCAATGGCGCCGAGCTTGACGGAATTGATTTCTGGGATGTGTGGCTGATAACAAAATTGAGCAAGCCATGTTGAGACTAGAATGTGAGCCAAGGAAGAAACTAAGAGGCATGTGAGAGAGAGAAACCAGGCTAGGAAGGCACGGCCAGTGAGTCATTTCATAAGCCGCTTCCATTTTCTAGCACGGCAGTGTGTAGCCTCAGTGCGCATACGTGCGAAAAGCGATGTTCTTTGTAGGAGGACAGTTGCCCTGAGTTCCTGGTGAGTTGTGAACGGGAACGATTTTTGGTATATTTTGCTGCTTCGGTTGTTAGATTATTTGCTAGAAATGAGTTATAATATTTCGTTATAATTGTCTCCGCATGTTTAATTACTTTTAAGTAACGATGGATTATAATGCCAGGATCCTTTTTCTTATCCACAATTATCAGCGAGTATTTTCAATGTAATATATATTTTTTTATGAATTGCTGCTTCTCATATCACTTTGCCATATAGTATTGTATTAAATCTAATTGGTCATTATTTTGTACTTGCCATCTTATCATAAAAAAAATGCTAAGTGCTTATCTTTGACGTAGTTCAACATCATTAATCAGCATATTTCTTCGCCAAATAAACTATGACTGTGTTTTACATATACATTAAGTCATAATCAACTTACTTGTGAAGTTGGTTAACCTCAGCTCTCTCCAAGGCTAGTCTATCGCTGAGAGAGAGATCATTACTGTCTCCTGGGGGCGCTGAGCGGTGATTGCTGCCATATTCATGGACCCCGGTGTTGATCAGACCAATGGGACCAAGGTGCAGCCCAAACGTGTGTTGTAACGTTAGTGTACGCAACATCTCCTGTTCTAAAGCAATAGCAACAATTAAATAGATATATTAAAGCACGGCAGAATGGGTATATTCTATACATCAATTTTATCAGCATTGAGGAAACGGTAGAAGGACTATTAGCCCATACGAAGCAGCTAATATTTGTATTCTCCCAAATGTGTGTGTATATACCTAGTAGCCTGAACTCACTTCTCTGCCTACTATGCAAGGCCCGATTTGCCTAATAAGCCAAGTTTTCATGAATTAATTGTTTTTCGACTACCTAACCTACCTAACCTAAGCTAACTTTTTTGGCTACCTAACCTAACCTAACCTATAAAGATAGGTTAGGTTAGGTTAGGTAGGGTTGGTTAGGTTCGGTCATATATCTACGTTAATTTTAACTCCAATAAAAAAAAATTGACCTCATAATGAAATGGGTAGCTTTATCATTTCATAAGAAAAAAATTAGAGAAAATATATTAATTCAGGAAAACTTTGCTTATTAGGCAAATCGGGCCTTGCATAGTAGACCGAGAAGTGCGTTCTGGCTACTAGGTACGACATATGTCTATATATATATATATATATATATATATATATATATATATATATATATATATATATATATATATATATATATATATATATCACCCCACAACCTCAAGTATAAGCTTCACCCCACAACCTACCTAAAACACGAATGCAACAGAACAGGATGCGCCATAGTCGAGCAACTTCTGGTCTCACTGTGTCCCCTCTGTAAAAAGAAAGGCAAATTATTATTATTTATCACAGAAGGATAGCACGAAGAATTCAATAGTACAAACTGGCTGTAATGTTCCAACCCATCCTCCTGAAATGCTAGTACTTATAACAAATATTTGCTCCTAAGTCTCCATATGTAGTAATGGACCACTATTAAAACACTTTCTGTACTACTAATTTTACAGCCCGGAAAAAATAAGCTAAAAAACAAACTTATATATTCCCTAGCGCTAGTAAAGTATAGGTTATTTGAACTATATTAGGCATTGCAGTGTGCATTAGGCCTAGAATTGCTAAGATAGGTTATATGTTAAGTCTTATATTTATATTGAGGTCAAAAAAAAAAGCTTCCGGTGTGTTCAAATTCAATAATGCAAAAGTCAACTTTCTGTCGTCCATCATTACATTTAATGAATTGAATCCAAAAACTGAACTGAATCCCAAAGCAATTCAGATAAAGTTTAAAAAAATGTAATAAACTACAGTTCTAGCCTCCAAATTTTAGGTGGAGTAGAGAGGAGTATAAAATTACTGAGTGCCTTCACTACAGCACAGTAGCGTATATAATTTTTGGGGAAATAGATGATTAATGTGACGTATTCTATTGAAGCAGCCTCGTGTTCCCTTGCTGTTGATTGTTGCCGCTTACAATGGCAAGTTGATTGTACACCCCATACTCATCCTGTGAGCGGTATTTGATTGTACACCCCATACTCATCCTATGAGCGGTAGTTGATTGTACACCCCATACTCATCCTGTGAGCGATATTTGATTGTACACCCCATACTCATCCTATGAGCGGTAGTTGATTGTACACCCCATACTCATCCTATGAGCGGTAGTTGATTGTACACCCCATACTCATCCTATGAGCGGTAGTTGATTGTACACCCCATACTCATCCTATGAGCGAGTGGTAGTTCATTGTGTACCTTATATTCATGTTATTTAATAAATTAATCATTCTCCATTAAAATTTATACCAAGGAAGCTCAACTTCGTTAATAATATCATGCTTTATAACGCTGGGTGCGTCGATACTTATAATATCTTCAACCATGTATGAATTAGACAAAAGTCAGAATGCAGACTTAATTATATCACTAAAAACAAGTTGTTTAATTGACGTCCACTCAAACGGGAAGATTCTTCATGAGTGGTGGATTTCAATTATATGAAACGGATTTAAATCCTGAATCTTGCTTTTAAGGTTATAGTTTGTGGACATATAATAGGGGGTATCTACATATCGCAAGGGGATAAAGAATAAAATATATCTGAGTTAAGGGGGGATACAATGAAGTATGCAGTTTTATAAAGCTACTTGACAATAGTCGCCACATTTTTAACCCGCTAACTAGTCATTTTGAAGAGCTAAATTGGCTGAGATTAATAATGATTAGCTTAGAGTAGCGGGAGTTTGCAGTGCGGTAACTATAATCAAGTAATTGCATATAAACAATTTACAGTATACAAAAAACCCCATGATATGCATTCAGAAAATGAGAAATGAAACTAACTCCTGGAGATATGGACTGAGTTTGTTCTTAGCCTCTCTAGCAAGATCCTGAGCGCGACGTCTTGACCTCTTCAGCTCCTCCCTCAGCTGGTCACAGTCTCCACTGCCTCCTAGGCCAACAGCCAGGTGACGGTAGCTGGATGTCTCGCGGTTCAGTTCCCGGATAAACTGTTGGTGTGCAAGATTCAAGTCAAGGAAAGTTACGAGTCAATATGCAGTCTGTAGCCTATTACATGGTAATTACAAGACAATTGAAAGAACCTAAGGTTCTCAGTATTGTCAAAGTGTATGTTATATTGTCATACATCTTTGCTTTTTCGTGGATAATTACTTTGAATTATTATTAAAAGTATTTCGTGCTGTTTATCAATGCTTGTTTCTTATCATGTTTCAATTTCCGACGGAAATATGTTCTTTTAAAGGTTGGCGAAACCATATCTATCTTTATCCATATTTAGCCAGTCAAGCACACATGTTAATAATAATTATTGTAATAATTAGTTTTATCGGGGGACAGGCAGCCTGCGTATGTATACATATGTTAGGCAGGTATTGAGGCCCAACCCCCCTAAAGGTTGATCTACTGACCCTCCCTAGGATGAAACTTCACAACAATTAACTAAGACTCACTTAACACGCCGTTCACTTAAGAGTGCTTATTATCGCAGCTAAGTGGTCTTTATGTAAGTTACAGGGAAAACATTGTCCACATTTGATAAAATTATCAGGGAGAAGAATACGAAGAGGTGAAGGTGTATGCATGTTTCGAAACACTAATGAAGCTTAGAACACTAGCTAAAAAGTCATTATAGTTCATAATTATGTTATATACATGTAAGTACATGCATATACATACAAATACACACGTACATATACATATGAACATACTTATCCTATGAGTGGTTGTTTATGGTGCACCCTATACTCATCCTGTGAGCGGTGGTTTATTGTGCACCCTATACTCATCCTGTGAGGGGGTTGTTTATTGTGCACCCTATACTCATCCTGTGAGCGTTAGTTGAATGTTCACCCAATACTCATCCTGTGAGCGGTTGTTTATTGTGCACCCCATACTCACCCTGTGAGCGGTTGTTTATTATTCACCCCATACTCATCCTGTGAGCGGTTGTTTATTGTGCACCCAATACTCATCCTGTGAACGGTAATTTATTGTGCACCCCATACTCACCCTGTGAGAGGTTGTTTATTATGCACCCTATACTCACCCTGTGAGCGGTTGTTTATTATGCACCCTATACTCATCCTGTGAGCGGTAATTTGTTGTGCACCCAATACTCATCCAGTGAGCGGTAGCCCAAAAAAGAACTACAGAGAGCACAAAAAGATGTTACTCAAACCTCAGCGGTAAATTTTGCATCATTAATTACAATCACTCCATAATTACATTGACAACTAGTTGCAGGCTTCACTCACTGCAACTTCTGTGTATTAACAATGTATATTGTTATTCATGAAGGTAAGACTTGTTAAGATATAAATACCGTACAGGTATTTCAGATATGTTGTTTATAATAGGTTTGCCATTTCATGCAACGCAAGTTTAGATTTATCTCTAAATGGCTAAATTTTGTCCACAGTGTATAATGCAGTGCTCGGGTGTGTCTCTGGGTGTTTTGTCCACACACTTTATTTACACTTTGCTTCATCTAGATCTCTTATACAAGCCGAACTGCCAGAGATACATGAGGTCATGAGTATAAAGCTATGAGTGCACCAGAGGAGGTCATGAGTATAAAGCTATAAGTGCACCAGAGGAGGTCATGAGTATAAAGCTATAAGTGCACCCAGAGGAGGTCATGAGTATAAAGCTATGATTGCACCAGAAGAGGTCATGAGCAGGGGAGTGTGAGAAACCTTTAGAGAAGCAGCTCACGAAAGGCGCCATAATAAACGCTGAGATTTCTTTGTTTACCTTTTTCGTAAACACAGGAGACGTCGGCTCGTCCAAGACACAGTCCGGTGACGCGTCGTCTTGACGTGAGGACATATTTAGCACACGTCCAAGCTAGGCTGCTGACGTGTAGCCATATTTAACACGGCCAAGCTAGGCTGCTGACGTGTAGCCATATTTAACACGGCCAAGCCAGGCTGTTGACGTGTAGCCATATTTAGCACACGGCCAAGCTAGGCTGCTGACGTGTAGCCATATTTAACACGGCCATATATATACGTATACCCAAATTTATCATCACCTTCCTATTGTAATATCTGTTTAATTGACTGTTTCCTCAGCGAGGATAAAAATTGCCAAAAATATCAAAATCAAAGATTTAGTTCAAAGATTTACGTACATCGTTAATTATAAAACGATTGTGAAATATGAACATACAATATATAATACACGAATATAAAGAAGTGTCGCCGAGGATAATTAATTCATATTTTTGGGGGGGAGGGGGCGGGGACAGGGAGCCTGTGTATGTATATACTTGAGGGTTGTATGGAGGTCCCCCCCCCCCAGGTCGTACTACTTACTGAACAACTCAGTAAGCAACCCCACAACAGTTGTCATCTATGTATAACAACACATTGTGAATACATATATGTTGTAATGAAAGCGTATCTGCAGCTGGCTGACATTATAAGGTGATCAGGATAGATGTAATTGTTAATGTAATCCTCTCCGTTGAGGTCTGAGTAAGACCTATTTTGCCCTCAGTAATCCTTTATGCGCTGCCGCTCACAGGGTGAGTATGGGGTGCACAATAAACTGCTGCAATAATAAAAAAAATCTGTTGCTTAATTCCCGGGTACCTATTTACAGCTAGGTGAGCAGAGGCATTAGATGAAAGGAAGCAAAATATGACATGGACTCAACATGTCAACAAAGATCACGTAGCCTCAACATGTCAACAAAGATCACGTGACCTCAACATGTAAACAATGATCACATGGCCTCAACATATCAACAAAGATCACGTAGCCTCAACATGTCAACAAAGATCACGTAGCCTCAACATATCAACAAAGATCACGTGGCCTCAACATGTCAACAAAGATCACGTGGCCTCAACATGTCAACAAAGATCACGTGACCTCAACATGTAAACAAAGATCACGTGGACTCAACATGTCAACAAAGATCACGTGGCCTCAACATATCAACAAAGATCAGGTGGCTTTGACATGTAAACAAAGATCACGTGACCTCAACATGTCAACAAAGATCACGTGGCCTCAACATGTAAACAAAGATCACGTGGCCTCAACATGTAAACAAAGACCACGTGGACGTTATGTGTCATTAAATAGGCCGCGAGACAACATATTAGTATCACACACACACACACACATATATTTACAAGCCATGAAGCAAAAAAAGCAAGATTTACACAAGCAGCTGATCTTCAGAACGGGAGAGGGCTGGACAGTCGACGTCAAAGAGACAGTTTACCTTGAGACAGTCAGCTTTGCCGGCGAATTCGAGGGCGGCCGCGGCGCAGCGCTGGTCGACGGTGGAGCAGTAAGGGATCCACATGGGCCGCCCACCGCCCCCAACAACGCCCCCACCCAGCACGGCTACCGCCCCGCCCCCTGACACACCGCCCCCGAGGCTGCCCCCGCGCACCCACATCACACGCAACCTGAAACGCAAAAACAATCACTAGATTTCCTCGTGAAGTGTACAACAAATACTGTAATTAAAGTGCTCATTGTAACTCAAAATTATCATGGTACTCAAAATGCTCACTGTACTCAAAATGCTCACTGTACTCAAAATGATCACTGTAATCAAAATGTTCACTGTAATCAAAATGTTCACTGTAATCAAAATGTTCACTGTAATCAAAATGCTCACGGTACTCAAAATGTTCACTGTAATCAAAATGCTCACTGTAACTCAAAATGCTCATTGTGCTCAAAATACTCACTGTAACTCAAAATGTTCACTGTACTCAAAATGCTCACTATAACTCAAAATGCTCACTGTAATCAAAATGTTCACTGTAACTCAAAATGCTTACTGTAACTCAAAATGCTCACTGTACTCAAAATGCTCACTGTACTCAAAATGCTCACTGTACTCAAAATGTTCACTGTACTCAAAATGCTCACTACTCAAAATGCTCACTGTACTCAAAATGCTCACTGTACTCAAAATGCTCACTGCACTCAAATTCTCATTAAACTTAAATAATAACTTTTCTGTGTTCATAATGTTCATAATACTGACAATATTGGTAGAGCTTAAAACTTATCCCTGTACTCAAAAAAAAAAATCACTGTAAAAATACAATTCTCAAAATACCGACTGCACTCAAAATACAATCTGTACTCAAAACACCCACTGCATTCAAAATATTCTGTTGACTTTGATCTCTTTCAAAAGCGGGTCAAAAACAGCCACCAAATAATAAAAACTAAAAAAAAATAGCTTCCTGTTTGACACCACTATTTAGTCAGAAATTAAAAAAAAAAGATCATTGACGATCTATTTTGCGCACGAAATATATATCACCTAACATTTTGATCCCATTAATTGACTCAACAGCAGAAAATTCAGGCGAAACATATGTATGATCAATGCATATGTATGAGAAACAGCAGGAGGAATTACTAGCTACAGCTAAACTAGCCGATAGTACCTTTCCGCAGAAGAAAATACTTTTTATTTAGCCTATTCTGAATGTCTTGCTTGCCCGCTGGCACACACCCCGCAAGAAATATATACTACGACATAGTTTAGTACCTCTGGAAACACAGAAAACAGCTTAGCACCTCTGGAATCACAGAAAACAGTTTAGCACCTCTGGAATCACTTGTGACAGACTAATAACCTTTTCCGCGGCTTTAAGGAAACCCAAACTCCGCATATGGCATTACTGTTTCTATAAAAATAACAATAAATATTTTATTATTATTATTATTACTGTACAACAAATAAATCTACGGTATTTACGATCCATATTTGAGTGTTGAGCCACACCTACTTGCTATAATTATTAAATTAAAGGTGGAGTTTCCGTGGGGGGAAATTTAGTCACTATGACCACCAATTATATGTTAATTAATGTCTAGCCACACGTTACGGTGTTCGATGTACCTCCATTACCAATTTATTTCTCGTGTTTAGGATAGTAAACATTATTATGGCAAGTGGGTGCATCAAATGCAATAAAACTAAATAAACAGACAGCTCATGGATTTAATCAATAACTTGTATTCTATCATGTAGTCAATCAAGTGACCGTTCATGTCAATCAACGCGCCCCATTCCTGTGGGCCAGCAAAGAGCCACTTAACACGACGTAAACACCTTGAGAAAAGCCTGCGAGACACTAACACTTATCTTGAAAGTATAGCACTGTGCCCCCAAGTCGCTGAGTGAGGAAGAGTTGACGGAGAAGGGAGTTGCCAGTCCACTGGTAAGCTGCGAGTTGAAGGAGTAGAGATGAGTGTTATATATATAAACACAGAAGACAGGGAGAGGGAGTAGAGAGAGAGAGAGAGAGAGAGATTAGAGCACACAGCGCTGCCAAAGCAAACACAGGTTACCTTCAGGAAACATGGAGGCCAAACCCCTCTTGGGCGTGCACCCAACACTCTCTCTCTTTTTCCTCCTGAATCGTTTAGTCCCGACACCACGCTGAAGAACGGGGTAGTATCGCTGCCCTCCCGGGGCTCCACAGGACGGGTATATCACACCACCAGGTTAAAGGGTATTAGAGTACTATTAACAAGAGCAGAAACGAGGTTTTCCCGTAGAGACGTCCGCATGTTTCCCCTCAGTCGCCGTCACACGTTCAACAAGTGCCAGTGTCGGCCTCACTCTGCCGGACGTACGAGGAAGGTTCATTCATGTTGCCAGTCTGCGCCGTTCATCTTCCCTCTCGATGCTTGTCCCAGCTGTCATTATGCATAACTTATGGTGTTTTTAATGACACACGCTCCCCGTAAACAGCGCACACACATTGCTCGACACACGGGTATTTGCCGCACAAGACGTGGTCTAAGATAATACCATGCAGGCTGATTTCCTTCCACTGATATCACGGTAGAAAATTTCGGTTTCCCATCAAAAATGTACACTTTTTAAGAATGAAATCATGTGCAATTTATGTAATTACATTATATAATAACAGTCTCTTGGCAATAAATGTACTAAATACTATAATTATGATAATTTAATGATATGGAGTGAATAGCACACAGAATCTTTGAGAGGCTGGCACCCTTGCTGTTGTCTGATCAATAACAATCAGGGAGTCTGGTGAAGTCTTTTCTCATTGGTCCATTGATGCCATGCTCGCCTGGGTATTGGTTCACACATACACACACACACACTGCCAGTGAAGAGCAGCCGGTCAATATGTACCTCTGGGAATGCGGCTATCATCTCACACACACCATGTTAAGGCTCCTGTCAATATGCGGGAGATGATGATAACAAGACATTCTCACAAGGAATAATAATAATGTCCGGGCGGACAGTATACTCTCGTTTCGGAGATTAAAAGGAAGTTCAGGGATTTTCTCCGAGCTCTAGTCTACTTCTACTACTACTACTACTACTACTATCAGAGGTGTGAATAACAGGGCTGCAAAATAAGGACATTATATACAGTTTCATCAACATGACGTCAGATGGAGAAAGTCTACAAGGAAACAAATAGTCTGGAAGTAGCCTAAATCATTTACATTCCTTAATTTCTTGACACTTTTGTCTTCATATCCCTACGGCGGTTCAAGTCACCCCATTGCCTCAAAATTATTTTTGGTTTCGAACAATTATTTTTTGGTATTTCGAAAATTATTTTTTGTCATTGATACATCACGCCAGTGTGCTTTCTTTGTGATTATTATTATTATTATTGTTATTATTATTATTATTATTATTATTATTATTATTATTATTATTAATTATTTCTTATTCGTGATAATATTATTAGTAGCCTAAATATTATTATGAAGCGAGGCTTCCTCCTGCCTCCGCCCGCCTTTTCTGTCGTGTATAAACTAATAAACATAAAAGCATCCTCTGGGAATTATAACATTATGTCATGAGAGGCTTTTATGGCAACTACATTAATCCTTAACTCTACCAAAAAAGTTATTTCATTGAAGCTTTTATGTCTTAATCTACACTTTCTACTGCCCAGTATTTAACATATATTTTTTTTTTAACTTTTAACATGGTTATTTTGTATTTCCTCTGTTATTCTATGGTTTATATTGCGGTATTTTTGCTTTGTGTAATTCTACAAGGGGTCTCGGTAGCAGAGTCGGATTCGTTCTCGACGCACAATCGCGAATTCCGGGTTCGAATCCCGGGCGGGATAGAAAAGGTTGGGCACATTTCCTTTCACCTAACGCCTCTGTTCACCTAGCAGTGAGTATAGGTACTCAGGAGTTAGTCAACTGGTTGTGGGGTTGCATCCTGGGGCGGGGTCAGTAATTTGACCTCGATATAAGTCTAACGTGTATGAATATACTCTGGCTTCCTGTCACCGACACGATGAGTTAGTATTATTATTATTATTATTATTATTATTATTATTATTATTATTATTATTATTATTATTATTATTATTATTATTATTATCATCAAATTTAGTCTTGTACTATGGAGCATACTCTATCATTAGTGGCAACTGCAGTAATCATTCGTAATCATTCTTAATCATCGTAAACATTTATTAATCATCTGAATCATTCAGTCATCGTAATCAATCAGTCATCACAATCATTGGTGATGAGTGGACTCACTCATTCTACTGGCGCTAGCTGGGAATCGTCGTATGAGTTGATATATACAGGAAGGATAAATAATTATAATAATTGATTTATTATAATTATATTTATATAATTAATATATATATATATATATATATGTGTGTGTGTGTGTGTGTGTGTGTGTGTGTGTGTGTGTGTGTGTGTGTGTGTGTGTGTGTGTGTGTGTGTGTGTGTGTGTGTGTGTTTGATAAAAACAAACCGAGTTAATGTTGCTTACAGAACAAGCAAAATGATAATGGAAAAATATCCTCATTGTCTATCGAAGTTTGCTATTGGAGGCTAGTAGACTCGACTCATGTCCCATGTATGACTGTCATCAATCATGTTTACTAGATTAGCAACTCAGTGCGGTGTATCTAAGCTTGCTAATACATGAAAATAAGAACCTGTACCAGTCTTGTAACCATCGGTACAGCTCATGTGGGTAGTTTTACAATTTGCTGTATCCAACATATTCTCGATAATAGAGAATTCAGTTTGAAATTGTATTCATTGATTTTCATGTTCGAATTAATCCTAGAAATAAATATTCGAATGTCAGAGGAGTTTGTATATAATTTTTACTAGATTTACTGAGGAATCAAAGTTTTAAACTTCCCGCTCCACAATGTACACACTCAATACTCACCTGTAGAGACCTCTCGCTCTTCCAAACCACATCTTTATTCGAAAATAAAAGCTTTACAAAACGCTATAATGTCAATAACTCCAAAAGTAAAAACTAAACGTTAATGCTTAATTTCAAGGATATACAAATGTATCATAGAGTCTTAAAATGATAACAGAAGATGAACAATAACACCAGCTGCTGCATTACTGGAACACGGCCGTCATATTGACTTTGGGGTGGGACAGACGGTCGATGAGTCATAAGGAAATGTCATCGCATTCTACCGATGAATTTCGACCTATGATTTGACCAGTTGCACAGTAAACCTGTCGGTGTATAGCATTTTGTGACCACAAAGGCATCATGGCGGACCGGAAAGCAGAACTAGAGCGTAAAAAGGCCAAATTAATGGCTTTACGGGAGGAGAAAGAGAGGAGAAAACGAGAGAAGGAACAAAAGGAGGTGAGTATAAGACGTTGAATTAACTTCTTAATGATCTCTCGAGTGTCGAATTAGCATGGCATGTGTGTGACTATTAGAGAGGGTAAGTCAATTGTGGCTGGAGAAGTTTGGAGGGGGAAGGTTGAGGTGGTTTTTGAGGTAATTAAGTTGTAGAGACGCCGCCGGGATGTGAGTGTGGTGGGCGGGCCAGGCTCTCATCACGGTAATTTACCTGTCATACTGCAAAGTCACTGGAAGCTAAATTCGTCATCGACGTGGTAATGCTCATACGTAATCGTGATGAGGTTAGTCGCATGGGAAAGATGTCTGATTATGGAGTAAATCTGCATGGGATTTTTTGGTGTTGGTGGAGCAAAAAGTGGCATGGGTGGGTGTGACTCGTAGATACTATGGGGGAATCTACCTGGGCATCTACCTGGGTATCTACCCCCAGAGTAGTCGTCGTGGGTCCAGTACACACACATACAGCCCAGTATATGTAATGTTTGGCAGTGATTTACCCATTAATAATGCTGCAACTTGAACATGAATTTGATGCTTGCATGTCCCAAGGGGCTGGGAGTGGCAGTATTCTCTCTCTCACTCACTCTTCCTCTCTCTTTCTCTCCCTCTCTCTCCCCTCTGGCTCTGATAGTTTGCACCTTGTCATAGTCATTACCAGAGCTCTGTATGAATTGTCTCTGAAAATTGTCATGAAATAAGATTAATGGGGATTTCTGTGATGTTCTATAGTACAGTAATAGTAGTGTTCTGTGTAGCCTATCTTTGGAGAAAGCCCAACACGCTATCAGGAACAATTCAAGAGAATCTCTGACTAATGTATTTTGTCAAATCTATGGCTTGTGAATGTCTGGGCACTAGTTGAATGTAATCTAGCCTAGCATGGGACAATGTTACCAGAATTGTAGAAACAAACTTAAATGTTTTTGTTTTTTTTATCTAATATCCAAATAATACTGTGGCCATTGGACCCATTTCTAATAGTGCATCAACAAATCCTGACTTTAGGTTAGGTAGAGTTTTCACCAGACAAATTTTAGATTTTTCATGAGAGCACTTGCGCTATATCTACGGTGAGACGTGCACTCCACCAATTTATAGTATTCGGTGCACTCTTATCTTAGAAATTTATTACACCTCTGTATCTCCTTTGTTGTATACATAGTTCTCCTTTATTTGAAATGTTCAGTTCATGATGACTTTGAAAAAAAATTATTGTATTTGCACATTTAAATTAAACCAAATTATCTGTAGTGAGAAGTAAAGGTTTCATGATATTTTGAATGCTTATTTGAATATTGTTTCAAACCTCTTGCTTGTTTGTTTATTTATTTATCTATTTATTTATATACAAGAAGATACAATGGGTTTGAGAGTACAACGCATTTGTTTTTTTACATTCCTATTAAGCCACTGACACACATAGGATTTCGGGCTGGTTCTTAATCTAACAGATAATTTTAAGTAGGTAATTTGTAGCAAAATTTAAAAATGTTAACAGGTACATTGTAAGAAAATATGAAGAAAATTAGTAAGTACACTATAGTAAAATTTGAGGATTAACACCAGATACATTGTAGCATAATTTCAGGATTATTTCTAGGTACATTGTAGTAAAATTTGCATTTAACATAACAACCATGATATACGCTGATAGCAGTGATTACAATGAAGTTGTATGACTTGGGGACATATATTGGGGGAGTGGATAGCACAAGATACAGTGCAAGTTTGAAGTATTAGGTAGGAAACTATGAGGATGAAATTAGGTTCGTTTTGGTTTTGCTATTGACTAAGGCATTGGTTGGACAGCTTTTTAATTCGTTAGGGGCGAGTTCCATAGGCTGTCCCTTTATTTGCACAGTGTGTGGTATTATGGGTTCTATTACATCTGTCAAGGAAGAGTTTTAGATCAGGACTTGCATTTAGGAACAAGGTTTTGTACATGTAAATGGCACAAGAGAATGTGTGGAGTGAGTTTATGTTTAGGGATTAAACAGAGGGACTGTGTGTTGTCTGAAAACAATTTGTTATTGCTCTGATAGCAGGCTTTTGCTGGGTGATGATGGGCTTGAGGTAATTTGCACTGGTTGAGCCCCATGCACAGATATCGTATGTAAGATAGGGATACATTTGTGGGTAGTATAATGAGAGGAGAGCAAAGTTTGAAACATAATACGTGTATCTGATTTTAGAAAGTATACGAACCTTTTTTATTTTTTTGTTGTGTTGTATGTGGGTGCTAAAGTAGTCTCTTTTGTCTAAAGGAACCTCCCATCTTATTATTGCTGATGTTAACATTACCTGAAGCTGAATGATTTGTTGATTTGCTTCCAATTAAAATGTAGTAGAACTGAACTGCGAGTAGTAAGAGTAGAACTTGTAGAACTGATCATAGGCCTGTGACTGCATGCAGCATTTTCTTGACAAATAAATACTGTTGGCTGAATAAAAATGTTTAAGTAACCTTAAAATTGTGATATGTTGTATGTAGGATTAAACCTTTTTTTGAGTGTACAGTACAAATAGGATTACATCATCCTGTATCCAAATACTGTACTATAGTGTGGTGCTCCATGTACCCAAATGACACTGCCCTGTATCCAACATAACTATGGCCCTTTAGTTAGGTAAAGGCTTATTAAGGCATTATCTCTTAATCACTCATCAGAAAGCACTGCACTTGGTACACTTTCCAACAATGCATTGAACGGCAACCAGGAAAACTGTATACTATTGGCAGCCCTGTCAGTATTCTCTTAGTACAAGAAAATATTGCTTCCTAGCCAAATTAACCTAACTTGACCAAAACGTATGCTATGCACTTTCCCAGATTAAAAACCAATTTTTTTAATTACACAGAAGTCATGTTGAATTTGGAGTTGAGCATTTCCCAGATACATAGTCTACTGATTCTTTTGCCACTGGGTAGGGGGACACAATATGGAGTCTTTTATATTTGCCAAAATACAAGGCATCAATTCAAAATAGAAAGCTATGTTCACAATGGTATCCTAATAGTCGAATTTAATATTTGGAGCCTTCACAGAAATCCACTCGGGAGATAACATGGACAGTGAAGTCTAGATCCTAAAATATGATTAATATAGATGTGATAGAGTAAATACAGTAGATCCAATGAAGGTGTATATTAAAGAGGAACTTGTATACACAAAGCTCTTAAATGCTGGAAATGATATGGTAGAGGTACTGTACTGTAAGTGCTCGCTAAATTGGATTCCTGTAACACAGACCTTTTAGTAATGTGGCCAAAATCAAGTCTTGAGTTCTTGACTACTCGCATAGGACAAAAATCCAGGTTGCTGGGTTTTGCAGCTGGGTTACTGAATGGAATATGGTGACCTATACTCCTACCTAAAATTACATTAAATTGGCACTAATATAAAATAAAAAAAAAATACTATCTATGACAATAATGATAACTTCATGTTCAGGCTATACAGTGTGTTTCTCGGTTAAAATAAGGGGATTTACTTTTCATCTGGTGCCCTACATATTGAGCCCTGAGCTGATCCGTCGAGACTCGGTTAATCTGTCCGCCAATGTGTTCTACCCCTTGTATTATTTTACACAGTACTGTACTACTCCTTTCATTAAAATTTTATTTCCAAACTTTTTTGTTTTAATAGAAACCTGATTTAATAGAAAAAGGAGGTAAGCAAAACTCGATCCTTATTTGTTAAGTACAGAAAGCCAAATGACATTCAACCAGTGAAGCCTCAGCTGAAATCAGAGGACCTTCAGCTAGCAAAGCCTCAGCAGAAAGCCAACTGACATTTAACCAGTGAAGCCTTGGCCGAAAGCTGAGGCAACCCATCCTCAAAACGAAGACCTAAAGTCCATTCCATGCACACAGAAAGCGGAGGACATCTTCGGCCAGCGAAGTCTCGGCAGAAAGCCTGGGACCTGTTCGGGCAGCGAAGACGTGGGACCTCTTTGGCCGGCGAAGCCTCAGCAGAAATCCTGGGACCTCTTTGGCCAGCGAAGCCGTGGGACCTCTTTGGCCAGCGAAGCCGTGGGACCTCTTTGGCCAGCGAAGCCGTGGGACCTCTTTGGCCAGCGAAGCCGTGGGACCTCTTTGGCCAGCGAAGCCGTGGGACCTCTTTGGTCAGCGAAGCCGTGGGACCTCTTTGGTCAGCGAAGCCGTGGGACCTCTTTGGCCAGCGAAGCCGTGGGACCTCTTTGGCCGGCGAAGTCGTGGGACCTCTTTGGCCGGCGAAGTCGTGAGACCTCTTCGGCCGGCAAAGCCGTGGGACCTCTTCGGTCAGCGAAGCCTCTGCAGAAAGCCGTGGGACCTCTTCGGCCGGCGAAGCCTCGGCAGAAATCCTGGGACCTCTTCAGCCAGTGTAGCTGTGGGACCTCTTTGGCCGGCGAAGCCTCGGCAGAAATCCTGGGTCCTCTTTGGCCAGCGAAGCCGGGGGGGGGGGGTCCTCTTCGGCCAGCGAAGCCGGGGGAGGGGGGTCCTCTTCGGCCAGCGAAGCCGGGGGGGGGTCCTCTTCGGCCAGCGAAGCCGGGGGGGTCCTCTTCGGCCAGCGAAGCTGGGGGGGGTCCTCTTCGGCCAGTAAAGTCGGGGGAGGGGGTCCGCTTCAGCCAGCAAAGCCCGGGGGGGGGGGCTCTTCGGCCAGTGAAGCCAAGAGGGGGGGTCCTCTTTGGCCAGCGAAGCCGGGGGGGGGTCCTCTTCGGCCAGTAAAGTCGGGGGGGGGGGGGGGTCAGCTTCAGCCAGCAAAGCCCGGGGGGGGGGGGCTCTTCGGCCAATGAAGCCAAGAGGGGTGGGGGGGTCCTCTTCGGCCAGCGAAACCAAGGGGTCCTCTTCGGCCAGCGAAGGCTCATCAGAAAGCTTTTGCTGTGTGTTTAAATTTAAATATACACGATTAAAATTTTCTATGGTAAGGGAGGTCCCCTAGTCAACATGTACATATAGTTATTTTTGAGTTTTAACTATCAATCACTTAAATAAATCGATCGTTTGCAGCCTACTGTATTACTGACAACTACAGGCTTCCGTTTAATGACAAGTGGAGTTATTTGCTGACAGGGTTAAGATCGGTGCCCAGCAACTCTGACCATCATGGATTGAACTCCGACCCTGGAAGAACCAAATGCGTCCGTCCGTCAGTCTGTACTTGCCTAATTTTGCTTGCGGGGGTTGCGCTTCGGCTCTTTGATCCCGCCTCTCGACCGTCATCGACTGGTGGTAAATATTCTAAACATCTCCATTTGAAACTGTGTATTGGAGTCTGCCTCCACCACATTCCTGTTTAGTGCATTCCATTTGTTAACTACTGACATTAAAAGAAAGTTTTTTATAAAGTCTTTGCACTCGGTGTCCACTTGCGCCCCCCCCCCACACTTGTGCGTGTACCCCCCGGTGTTAAATAAACTGTGTTTATCAACCATGTCAGTTCCCCTTAGAATCTTATATGTGGTAATCATGTCTCCCCCTAACTCTCCTTTGTCTGTGGGGTTTGCGTGCGGCTTTGTGTTGTGTTTGTGCCTGGTCGTGTTCAATTTGTATAGTGTCGTTTGACAGAATTACGGGAGGGCTTGTAAGTGATAAATGGATGCGACCTATCTGTTGATGATGATTAAGCCATTCAAGAGGTGGCACGGGCATGAATAACCCGTAAATCTAGCTGTCGATTAATGATTGATGAAGATTAAGCCATCCAAAAGATGGCACGGGCATGAATAGCCCGTAAGTTGTGGCCCTTTTGAGCCATAACCAGTATCAATAGATGATACTGGAGATCTGTGGAGGTGCGACTGAACCCTGCGTGACGGGAGATGTCTCCCCTAGCTGTCGGTAGTCTGAGTGTTTTTATATGTAAAGAGAGAGAGAGAAAGGTTGGGGTGAAGTTGATAGGTGTGGTAGTGGTGGGAAGTAGCGGGCCAGGAAGTTGGTTGTAGGCGGGTAATGGAGTGTTGTGGAGGACGGGTTGGTCTGTGGTAGCGCAGTGTCAGTCACAGTTGGCCGGGCTTGGTGATTGTCCACAACCAGCACTTCCTCCTCCTCCTCTCCGTGTGATCTTGGTGGACTTGCCACCGTCACCAACACAAATTTGTACTTCTCTTTACATTTTTCTCTTCCCATTTTTGCTGCCATTTTGGATACGGTATACGCTATATAGTAGTTTTTATTTGATCCTGGCAATTAGTGAGGTCAAGTTGTTACCGCACATGTGCAAAATAATTACAACGTATATTATAGGTTATCAGTGAATACACATTATATATAATACCGTGGTAATATCGCTGTAATATTGCCTAATATAGGAAATTCCCATATCTTAGCACGGTTATAGAACGGCAATATCGCTTTACATTGTAAAAATATTTATAATCTCCACAGGTAATTTTGGTGTATTTTAAACGCGTTTACAAAGCATTGACATTAGCGAGAAATCTAGAAATAATGTTAATTAAATGTGGTGTTGGGTGAACCAGGCATCGCCGGCACCTGGTGGCTGGGACGGCTCAGCTGGTGTCATGCACGCTGATGCCGCCTCTAGTATTTTCCATTATATATATATATATATATACACTACATATAAATCTATCTATACTATACCTACCGCTTTATAGCATCACAGGTCACCGCGTCACCTGTCTCGGGAGTTATAATAATGAATTGGAGTATGGAATTTGATGGTTTTTAATAGGGAGGGTTGAAGGGGGGTGTGGGAAGGTTGGGAGGCAGCTCGGTCATGCTGTCAGTCGGGTGTGAGTGAGGCTAGCGAGCTCTTGCCTTCCTCCACTCTTTAAACACTCGTGATGTGTTTCCTGTGACTTGTGTGAAACCAAACTCAAAGATTCACGTTGTTTAGTATGTTATTCGCTACGTGTGTGTGAGAGGCATGTAAGCGGCTGTGTGGTGATTGGTGTGTCAAGTATTCGTGATTATGGCGCTGTTGGATTGGTTCTTTCTTTATGGCAGATTAGCTTTTCGGTTTGGAAGATAGGGGGTGGGGGAAATGAGCTAGGTTGTGCATGATTTTGGGCCCGTGGATCGTGTACATATGTGTAATGTTAGCGCAGTGGGCAGGCGAGGCTGCCAGGTCAGAGGTGGTTATTGATTACTCTCATCCATTACCCCCCCCCTTGGCCTGTAGTCACCCTTATAATGCCTCAACACCCCTCACCCTGGCACCTCCAGAGGTCACCACCTCTCAATAAGGTGCAGTCGCACCTTATAGAGAATCTCCAGAATCGGATCTTAATACTAGTAATGGCTCCACCACTTACGGGCTATTCATGCCCGTGCCTTAATCATCATCAATCATCACCCTGGCATGGCTCAGGGTGTGAGAGCCACTGGTTTCAAGCACACGCCAATATACATATATAATACCCTGTTGCTGCAGATATATATATATACTGTATGTATATATTTGCCCTTTGGAGTGGCTTTGCCCTCTTCAACAGTTGCTAACGTCACCTTTGGTTGGTCATTGCACTGGACAAAGTGTTGGTACAGTGGTTAATGGGTGTGTGTTGGCTTTAGGGTGTTACACAGAGGTGTTGGGGAAATATCAATACTGGGGGCTGCTGTGAGGCCTCTGGCAACTGGCTGCCTGACATTCTCAAGGTTGTTGTGGTCTTCACTTAACATTCTCTCTCACTTATTTTTCGTTTTAGAGTAAAAGTTTTTATTTTAGTAAACAATGGGATTATATATATATATATATATATATATATATATATATATATATATATATATATATATATATATATATATATATATATATATATATATATATATATATATATATATATATATATATATATATATATATATATATATATATATATATATATATATATATATATATATATATATATATATATATATATATATATATATATATATATATATATATATATATATATATATATATATATATATATATATATATATATATATATATATATATATATATATATATATATATATATATATATATTATATATATATATATATATATATATATATATATATATATATATATATTATATATATATATATATATATATATATATATATATATATATATATATATATATATATATATATATATATATATATATATATATATATATATATATATATATATATATATATATGACAATGTCAGACCACGGAGGAAAAATGAAACAGGAAATTTCCTTAAGTACTTTCGTATATTAAATACATCTTCAGAAGGTCAGCCTTCTGAAGATGTATTTAATATACGAAAGTACTTAAGGAAATTTCCTGTTTCATTTTTCCTCCTGGTCTGACATTGTCATTCATATATATATATATATATATATATATATATATATATATATATATATATATATATAAAATAAATAATCACACACACACACTAGTGCTTTATTTCAATAGGTCTCACTGTTAATAATAAAACTGATATGATTTTTACAAACATTTTCAAAATTCTAGTTTAATTGGAAACTTTAGTGGGATGAAGAGACTTGTTATATCCTTTTTAACTTCTATGCTGGTCTTAATTAAATTGTAGTAGGCCTAGTGTTCTTTATTGGTTATGTCAATTTTTTGTTATAGTACTTTATTAGTTATATTTTTAGGCCCAAATCTAATTACAATTGAGACTGAGGCAACTTACTGCAGTGAAAGTTCACTCCTATGATTTGTGTTGTGATGTAATTGTAAGTGTGGTTTGAGGATTTATTTTTATACAACTACAGTATGTGGGATCTGCCATTAAGCATTTATTTTTTTTTAAATTTGTTATTAAAACATGTTTAGGTTTCAGATTAAGTTTATAGATTAGATTTAAGGACCTGCCCGAAATGCAACGCGTGCTAGTGGCTTTACAAGAATGTAAGAACTCTTGTATATACTGTATAAAAACAAAAATTACATTCAAATGTGTATCACAAACATGTCCCATATCTCTTCTCATTGTATGATTTCATACAATGAAGAGCCCTATTGTATGAATTTGTATTTTTCTGTCTGCACTTTAGTGTGGCACACCTTCCTAGGCTTTGTAGTTAACAAGACAGCAAAAAAGGCAAACTTTAAAGTGCCTTGTTAATTATCAAATGTCACGACAATTTTGGGCATCTGCCTTCCTCTACACTTTAAAATATTAGCCTAGAAATAAATTAAGGTTATAAAAGTGCTGTAAGTGGAACTCTGAAAGCGCACGAACAAATAATGATTAATCTGTGCCAATCAAGACTTAATAGCTGACTCCATACCTATTGAATTCTTGGAGAACCGCTATCAAACGATATTTTGTGGTTCATTTGTTAACACAGAATATATACTTAAGGAATCAAACCACACACAATGATGTCCCAAGGTGTTGGAATAAATGTGATGGATCGTTTGCGTTTGGACTCGCCAGACAGAAGAACTGCTTGGAAAGAGGAAAAGGAACGCAAATTGGCTAAGCTTAAGCAGTTGCGAGCAGAGAGAGAGAAGAGACGGAGAGAACAACTGTCAAAAGAGGTGCCCATCTTTCTAAGACACTAGTCAAGGATTTTAATGATACTGTATTACAATTAACTGTGCTCCAAACATATAAGGTATATTATTTTTAAAGATTCATAAAGTACAGCTCGGTAATTCGTATCAATTCCCATTACTGTGTATGGTGTCCATTCTACCTAATTTATGTCTGGAATTAAAATACTGTACAGTGCTCTATTTTTTTTTAATAATTTACTATATCTTCATGATAAATTCAGTTCCAATATCTGTTTGTAAGCAGAAATTGAAAAGTTACCGATCTTTTTAAGTGATAAAACACTGTTTTTTTCTCTAGGCGCAGGAAGCAGCAGTACGGGCCAGCAATGCACCTCGCGATGACCAAGACTTGGACAAGATGCTCTCCTCCCTTGGAGTGGCACCTGTCTCGGGTAACTGCCTTAATTTTTTTTTTCTTAACCTTAAGTTACAGTTGTATTAGTATTTCTTTATGGTATTGATGGTAGAGTTAAAATATAATACAGTATAAAGTTTCATAATATGCATTTTTGTATTTTCCATCTTCGTGAATTTTTTTGGCGACCTATATAGGAGGTATTGATGTCATTACTGTGCATTATTAAAATTCAATGTACAGTAATGACATCAATGTCCTTAACCGATCCAGATAAAGATAGGTTAAGGACATTGATGTAAAGGTGAGATTTGAGGGATTATATGTTAGTATATTTTGATAAAAGTATTAGTAAGAGGTGTAACAATGTTGAGTTTTCCTGCATTTTGTTTCGTAGTTTGGCAGTAGTTGATGACTGTTGACTGAACAGTAGACAGTATCCAAGTCTGCAGCCATTAAACAGAACAAAAAATATTTACATTGTCCCCACTTGCTAAATTAGTATTTCAGGAATTTAAATTGACACACAATCCTACGCTGATCTTGATCGACGTTGGCTCGGTGTCCTCGCCTTTCCAAAATGTTTACCCATTATAAGCACTAACCATAAATGTATCTGTTAAATCTGATTAAGACCTTACCGGCAATATGTCATTTACAACTGTTTTCTAATCTTGGTGCATACTTGCATAATACTGAACAGTAGATTAGATTTGGAAGATTGTATGTAGCTAAAAAAGAAGCTTTGTTGACAGATAAAGCAATAGCACAAGACTTTGCACCTTGTGACGAGTGTAAAGGTGTTTTCACATCTCTCGTTCAGCAGCACTCCGCAATCAAAACTATGCATTTAGACGGTAGTGTGTAAATTATTGACAGTGCCTTGTGTGTGTGTGTGTCAACAATCCATTTTCTAGCTCTTAATATTAAGCCTCCAATGTACTTTAGTATACTTGTTACACTGCATGAATATTTAATGTTGAATGAAGACTTTTTCTTTCTTTTTTTTATATTGCATTGTGTTGTTTATCCTACTAATATATGAAAACAACATTATTATTATGGGAAGGTTAGTGTTGCATATAATATTTTAATAAACACTTGAGTGTGTACTATAGAATGTTTACAATGTAGCATTCACTCAGTTTTTCTAATCATTTGGGACTGGCCAGGTTTGGTAAATATTGAAGCTTATTATAACTGTATGTAGTGTGATATCTAAACCATATATCAGAAAATGAAGAAATGATGATGTTTCTGTCACTCCTGGACCATTATAAAATCTGATTGATTGTCTAGGATAGACCGAAATGTGATCATTTCTTCATTTTCTGATATGTGGTTTGGATATTATATCTTCAGCCACATTATTGTGACTTGTCCTCTCACCTGACTCATCGCCGGGTCTGTATGTAATGTACGTACATTATTTGCTATTACTGTTAATCACTGTAGGGCTCCTCTTACCTGAACTAGGTGCTGGCACAGCCATGCCTTAGGAAGATGCCTAGGGCCTTTTCAGGCCTACCATCAGAAGCCAGGACAAGAGTCTGGCTCACTGTAAGACAAGAGAGTGGGGGATCAGAGACCAATACAAAAACCCCATCTGAATGCATAATCTCAATAAAACGAGTCGCTTTTTGAAGAAAATTAGGTACCCTTGGGGAAACAATGTAAAGAAGGTTGTTGTGTAAACAGCCTAACCATGATGTCTGTCTGGGGCCTGACAACCGAGTGGACAGCGCTTCGGATTCATAGTCCTGAGGGGTCCGGGTTCGATCCCCAGTGAAGGCGGAAACAAATGGGCAGAGTTTCTTTCACCTTGATGCCCCTGTTACCTAGCAGTAAATAGGTACCTGGGAGTTACAGCTGCTACGGGCTGCTTCCTGGGGGTGTGTAACAAAAAGGAGGCCTGGTCGAGGACCGGGCCGCGGAGATGCTAAGCCCAAAATCGTCTCAAGATCTCAAGACAATGATGCACCAGCACTACCACCAGGTGGTAGCGCAGGTCACTTCAGGTTGAAGACAGCCCATCCCTCTTGCTCACCAGGTGAGTGAGAGACTAGAGGGCACGGATCCTCTGGTGGTGTCCATCCTTTGCTTCCTGCTTAAGCTAAGTGGTGGTGTCTATCCTGGGATATAATTCCAACACTCACCAGAGGTGTCCACAAACATGAAAAGATGAACCTAAGGAAATAATTTAAATATCTAAAGGAGGTTTATTTTCAAGTATGCTCCACCAGCTCGAATTTGATCCTTTATGACAGCCAGGTAGAAAATGAGGCGTTACTGCAAATGAGTTACTGTTCTTGTGTGTGTGGATTAATTGTGGTTTTTGTTAACCCTTTTTGTTATTACCTTGGTAATAGTATTTACAATCTATTGAACGTAGCTGTGCTTGTCCTATTTCTTATTGCATGATTGTCTTAATCTTTTGCTTATAAGTAAATTACATGTGAAGGTTCGTGTCTTAGTCTAAGTGTTAACATACAGTCTTCACAATCAGATCAGTGGGTGTAGAGCTTAACCATATTTCATATGCCTGAAGCACCCTTACATATTAATGTACGGTACATCTTGCAAATGTGGCTCTAGTGCTTACCAGTATTTATATTTTTGTGTGCTTTTATCTAAATTTAAATTGTTTCGTGTTGGAATAATTTCATTGGTAATGAGAAATAAGTACTGTGTGCTCTTGAATTTTCAGAGGTGTTGTCCAGTATGTCGAGCATGTCCTCGGAGCCAGGAGCTGATCACAGTGGCTCGCCTGACAAGAGCTTGGAAGCCAATGCTACAGCTTCTCCACGGACACCTAGGTATATATATATGTATTTGCAATGGTTTTCAAGGTTAATTAGATATATATATGTGTGTGTGTGGGTGGGTGTGTAATTACCTAAGTGTAGTTACAGGATGAGAGCTACGCTCGTGGTGTCCCGTCTTCCCAGCACTCTTGTATCTGTGTGTGTGCATGTTTGCCTATTTGTGGCGAATGGCCTCTGGAATGCTCCCAAGGCCTGAAATGAAAGGTTTGAAAAATATATAGACAACTGAGTATAAGAGTTACCTGTCTTATGATTTGCCTCCCCTCGACTCAATTTTTAGCCGTTCATTCCTAGATACAAATCAGTTGCAAAGTCACCAGATTATGAACAGTGTTCGTAATGTAATAACACCACCCGTGTTCAGTGACACTCCTATGGAACCATTGACCATTAACATCTAACATATGTAAGGTAGTATGGTGTGTTTGGCATGTGTTTGAATTGTCTATTGATTTGGAGGTGCTGTACTATATATTTTGGGTACACGGCACAGATATAGGAAATGGGTTAATTTAGGTTGTGGTGTTCTGAAGTATTATTACCCATAATGCACCTATCTAGGTGTCTAGCCCAGTCAACCCACAATTTAATGACTGTACTTGTATCCAAATAAAAAGTCAAATTGAATTAAATATATGCACTCAAGTTTAATGATGATGATAATAAGAAACATTAGTTTTCTTAAGAACAATTGACTGAATCATGGAAAATGAACACTATGATATTTATTCTAACAGGTGTGTATTAGACACCTGTCATATTTCAGTATGCTTTTGGAATTCAGAACAGTATATTCCTATGAAACCTGTTGACCTGTTCAATAAATCAACAACCTTAGCAATTTTTTTTTTTCTCTCTCCATGTCATGTGGGTGCTATAGATTTTTTTCTGAACCAATGTTCAGCAGCCAGTAACTGTGTGAATACATGCAACTTTACCCTAGGGTAAAGTCGTGCATATTCTTACGGTTGCCAGCCCTCGAGCACTGAGAGTTAAAAAAAAAAAAAGACATTACTCCTTATATACTACAATGATCTCTGTTATTATCATGCTGATATCTAAATAGTAACTTTAATGATCACTGAAGGTTGACTGCTTGTCCAGCAGTAATTGGGGACCTAGTTGTAAGCCAATTGACAGGGCATTGCCCGGGCAAACTAGCTGGGGTAAGGTTTAAGGTGAGCTGTGGGTTGGGACAGCTCTTAAGCCTGCTAACAGTAAGTAAGAAGTGTGTGTACTTTATCCACCTGTGCAAAAAAAATAAAAATATATATATTATCTGCAAGACATCCAGGGTTTGTTTTGTTAGTAGGACATGTCCCGAGGGTAAGGTATGCGCAGCTGTAAAGGTCTTGTTTTGCTTTTTATCATCCACAATTATCACTTTTCTGTTTCTCATTTAGATAGGGTTTGTAGGCAAAAAAAAGAGATAATAAAGATAACCAAAATGACACTTCATCTGTTTTCCATCAATCACACTACTTAATTGCAGTATTACATTGCATCAACAATGTTACACTACTGCAGTACATCCACACAAACATCTTGCTGCTACTTACGACGACTCTTTAGGATGCTTCCTACAAGTTACTGTGTATCATTTGACTTGCATTTACTCTTGACAAATTGATTCCATCTAACATTATGTCCTTCAACTTCATCACCTCGCCAAACTTGTTCCAACCGTTTGTTTGTTTGTTTGCAACCAACTTTGTTTAGTTTAAATCTATGACCACATGTTCTTGAAGTTCCGGGTCTCTGGAATTCTTCGATATCAATTTTGTCGATTCCCATTACGTATGTAGTTAGTGATCATATCGCCTTTTTTTTTCTTCTATCTTCAAGTTTTGGCATATTTAATGCTTCTAACCTCTCCTCGTATCATGTCTCTACACCTTTTCCAGTTTGTTGATGGCAGTCTCCGTGGTGTAGTGGTAAGACAGGCGTTCCGCGAGCGCTATGTCATGGGTTCGTATCCTGGCCGGGGAGGATTTACTGGGCGCAATTCCTTAACTGTAGCCTCTGTTTAACGCAACAGTAAAATGTGTACTTGGATGAAAAACTATTCTTCGCGGCAGGGGATCGTATTCCAGGGACCATAGGATTAAGGACTTGCCCGAAACGCTACGCGTACTAGTGGCTGTACAAGAATGTAACAACTCTTGTATATATCTCAAAAAAAAAAAAAAAAAATGTGCTTCTGAAGATATGAGCACCATTCAACGCTGCATTTTCCAGCAGGGGTCTCGTAAATGTAGTGAACAATTTCTTTAGGATTTCACCTATGTATTTAAAAGCAATTCTGATATTTAAACGTGTAGCATAGGCTCCTTTGGAAAGGAAAGTTTGGAAAGAAAATGACGCCAAAAACAGGCAAAAGTGCGTTCTATTTAAATAAGTAAAGGTTTAAAAATAATACATTGTATAATTTGGAAAAATGTTTGGGAAATTAAACCATATCCAAAATTTCTCACACGTTACAGCATGTTTAAATATTATATGTATTTTACTATTGTTGATTTGGTGGTTTTATATTTTCACGATCCAAATTGTTAATACAAATGTTACTTGCAGTAAGAAGCCACCCCAGTTGTCAGTAGTGAGTGTGCAAGCCACGAACATTCCCCCGCGTGAAACGGTTACCTACACCAAGGGAGTTCAAACTTCAGGATCCGGGGATGGCCACGGTTAGTTATGGGAGAATCTTGTGCAGTTTTGACAGGGTAAATGAGGGCCGTTAGTATGGCCATTACATTAGACAGGATAGTTTAGCGGACTATCAAGTCATTCTTGGCTCCTGTACTTAATATATACTATAGATATAATATAAGTTTACATTTTTTAGATGAAGTTTTTAATATTGAATAACTTAATTAGTTCATAGTAGGATGTCCATAGAATTATAACATTGTCAACTTCTGCAGTTTTACCTTCACCTGAGTGACTCCAAAAATGATGAACTAGTATATTAGAATTCTTCAATTTTTTTAAGTTAATTAATTTAATCATCATTATTCTGATTTAATACTATAAATTGGTTTGAATATTACTGTTGTGTGGATAATATAAAATCCTGGTAAACTGTATACTGTAATGTTCCAAGATTAATTATTGTTGAAAAGTAGTAAACTTAAAGGTCATTAGCAAGTCACTAGCAGGTAATGGTCGCTGGTGTAATTTAGATTTTACAAATAGGAATTAGTTTTAACCTATTAGTTCATCCGATTTATCCAAGATTAGCTGTATTGCTTTTTTGTATCATCTTATAGCTAAACAAGAGAGAGAGAGAGAGATCAGTGTGTTTGTTATAAGTTTAAGATTACATTGGTCAAGGGACAAGTTAGGTAATGTATTTAGTGTCCGCAGTGCTATTGGCAATGCTTGATTTATCTGCATGAGTTAGGCAAGGTTGAGGGAGTAGGTGACGAGAGAGCAGTGTGTGTGTGTGTGTGTGTGTGTGTGTGTGTGTGTGTGTGTGTGTGTGTGTGTGTGTGGAGGAGGGGGTGTGCCGTGCAGTCTTGTCAAGGAGGAAAGTACATTACAGTGCAGTAGTGAGAATGAATTAGTTTTGAAGGACTGTGGGAACTTGAGCAAATATGAATGGCTTTGGCAGAAGGATGGGGTTTGGCTTCTAATTACTCCTTCAACAGGCATGAAATTCTGAAACTTTTATTTAAGAGATTAAGAAATATAAATATATATATATATATATATATATATATATATATATATATATATATATATATATATATATATGTCGTACCTAGTAGCCAGAACTCACTTCTCAGCCTACTATTCAAGGCCCGATTTGCCTAATAAGCCAAGTTTTCCTGAATTAATATATTTACTATAATTTTTTTCTTATGAAATGATAAAGCAACCATTTTCTCTATGTATGAGGTCAATTTTTTTTTATTGGAGTTAAAATTAACGTAGATATGTGCCCGAACCTAACCAACCCTACCTAACCTAACCTAACCTATATTTATAGGTAAGGTTAGGTTAGGTAGCCAAAAAAAGCTAGGTTAGGTTAGGTTAGGTAGGTTAGGTAGACGAAAAAACATTAATTCATGAAAACTTGGCTTATTAGGCAAATCGGGCCTTGAATAGTAGGCTGAGAAGTGCGTTCTGGCTATTAGGTACGACATATATATATATATATATATTATATATATATATATATATATATATATATAATAAAATATATATGACATAGCATATACTGTGTATCTAGCTATAGCTAACTAGCTGTGTGTGTGTGTATGTATAAATATATATATATATATATATTATATATATTATTATATATTATATATTAATATAATCATCCCATCCTCCTAAACTGAAATTACTTATAGTAACGATGTGATGAACCAACATAGAGTAGACTTTAGTCGTATTGAATTTTAACAAACTTGAAAAGTTAGTTTTTGTTGTTGCTAATGAAGCATTTAGATTATATATGATATATATATGTAATAAATAAATAAAATGTGTGTACATATGTGCTATACTAAACCTAGAATATTTAAGTTTGATTTTTGGCGTTATTTTCTCTGGACCATAAAAAAGTACACAAGTGACCTATTGGGACTCCATTACTATATATTGATGTGATTGACTACATAGTTATAAAAAAGTACTATCAAAACGGGAGGATGGGTTGGTTTACTGTATATATAGTGTGTGCTTGAATGTGTGTGTGTTGTATATGTATGTGCAGTATGTATAATAAATAATTGCATACTATATACTTTATATTTACTGGGGGCCGAGACAGTGGTTTAGTTTGTCAATATACGACTGTACAGAAGGAAAGAAGCAATGGTTCAGTATCACCCGCCGTTTTTTCCCCCCCACTCTCCCATTTTCTAGTGCAACTGTTTGTTTTGCAGGCTTCGTTTTTGACTTTGTTGCAGCAGTTTTAAGAATATTATTTCCTAATGGCACCTGAGCATTGAGCGGTGAAATGGTTTGTGCTATTTACAGTAACACGATGAAATTACCATCGGTGATTCAATTCATTACGGTTTGGATATTTGTGACGGTCATTGACATTCATAATCCCGTGGTGTCAGGTGCCATGAATTGCACAGTTAAACAACTAATCTTGCAGTTCTTTCATTATCTTTCAAGTATGCTGCTGCATTAATCTACCAAAGCATTATTTTGTTTGTGTTTCAGAGTACATGTAGAAAACTAAAAATATAAAAGTGTTCATTAATTAAATTCCAGCAAGAATATATATATTTCCATGGGTAGTGTTAGTGCTATGTCAACATACATGCTTGCTTTATCATAAATCATATAACAAATATTAATACACACAAAAATATAGAAACTTGATTTTTTTTTGTCTAGTACCTTACCTTGAGATGATTTCGGAGCTTAGCGTCCCCGCGGCCCGGTCGTCGACCAGGCCTCCTGGTCTCCTAGTATGTAAAGAAACAAAAATAATTGTCATCGCAGTGCTACTTTCATATTGAAGCTTGACCCCCATGTTTTTTCCTTGTTCGCATTTATCCACTTTCAACCAGGTTTTTAAGTAATATCCTTAATTGAAACTAGATTATATATATTTTTGAAAATATATATATATATATTTTGAATGCTAGGCACCAAGGAAGGGGTATAAAAACAGTTATATTGGTACTTTTATCTGTCGCGTGCTTGCTTTTTGCATGCTGTCTATATCTCCATCCATGCGTGTGCATGCAGCAGCCATATACATATACTTTAGAATGTAATTTTTCATTATAGGAAACCTAATTCTATTCTAAGGCTCACATGAATTTGTAATGAACTATATTTTCTTGAAAAGAATGATAATTTTTCTTGAAAACTGTTTTAATTTTTTTTTTTTATCATCGGTACAGTACTATTGTAGAAGAGTAAGGAAGTGAGTGAGTATAGCTCTTTACTTTGTAATAATTTCTTGGATTGTCATACTTTTCCATGAGTCTTTGAATAGGATGATAGAAAAATAGAATCCATAGGGTTTTATGTAGTAATGAAGAAAATAGGTTGGTCAGAGAAGCGCTTTGGTCCAATTTCTGCTCCGCTTTTATGAATACTTTGTGTAATTCTTTGCTTGAATAATCTCTGTAATTTCTTGATTGAATAAATTATAGTTCATTTTACCTGGAATTCATCATTTAAAAATGTCAGCTAAGCAAATTATGGACCAAAGAATCCTGCCTTAAAGTTGCCAATTTCAGTCCTTTGTCTATACTAAAATGTATTTATTTTCTGGCAGTTTAATATATTGCATGTTTAATCATCGCATTATTTCCTGTATCTGAGATGCCATTGTTTTGTTTTACACTATGAAATGCATGACTGCCCACATGGCTTTGTTTTTTGCCCTTTTCTATTGATATTGCTGTACACGTCGTCGACGGGGGTCTCCAGTGTTGAAGCTTAGCATCATGGCAATGCAAGGCTAAATATAGGCTATTTCACAGGTTGTTTACCTGTCCAAATTTCTTGTTAATGACTGGAGGTTAGAGCAGGTAGACAAATGCCTCACGTTTTTAAAGAGCAGGTAGACAAATGCCTCACGTTTTTAAAGAGCAGGTAGATAAATGCATCATGTTTTTAATTTTAAAGTCCTTCATTACCTGCTGCTATGCTTGATAACATGGAGCCTGGTAAGCAACAATATTTCTCAAATTAAGAGAGGTGATAGTGATCCTTGGAGCTGCTGTATATTCTTTGCATGTTGATGGGTGCTTGTTCCACAACACCTCAAGGTTACCCGCCCTACCCACCAACCCTCGGACTTGCAGCTGTCTTGTTAAGTGGTGTCTGTTTTAGCACTTAGAGCATGGTATAGATGCTTCATGATAACAAGTGTTAATGGTATTAAATGTGTGTATTAATATGACTTATAGGTTTAAGTGTTTGAATTGCAGTGTCCAGTCTCTAATTTATTTTGTATATCAGTTTGGCTTGGATATCTTAAAGTACTTTTCTCTTATTTGTGTTAGGTAAAAAGAATATTAATTATATTTCCTTCCCCCAAAAAGAAGATATGAAATGCTCTCATCTCCCTCTTGCAAGTGCGACTGTGCATGAGTACCTGAGCCACCCTCTACTTGGGTGTGGGTTGACAGTGTCACCGCTCCACATGATGCCACCCTTGTCCTGCAACACCAAGGGACTACCACCTTCCCTCCTGCCCCATTACAAGACAGATTAATCTTAAATGATATCTTTGAGAGTTTTCCTTAGTCAGATATTGCCCTTTGTTGCTTTGAAGTTAGGTACAGTACGTACATATTTCAGATATTTAGAAGGATATTAATAAAAAAAAATTTACCTGAAATTCAAATATCTTGTTAGTGGAAGATTCTCCATTGAGAAGGACTTAATTATGTAGTGGGGTTCCTTCCTCACATAGTTTTCATCTTGTGCATTTTGTTGGATTCTGTCTGGGTTTTTTAATGTTCTACAATTTCCCATCTCGTTTGCTTCTTTTGAGATTCCATTAATGCCAATTTCATAAAGACCCCATCCACTAACTTGTTGTTCCTCCCCTTCCCCCAACCCAAGGTTACTATGAGGACTGGTGGAGGCCCCGCAAAGGTTGGTTGAACTGCCCCCCTTAGCTGGCTGCCTCGCTCGCTCACGGGCCATGCCTTGGTATCTCTTGTACTCCTGAGCTGTGTGCACTACTTGTCACTCTCAACAGCTACATCTCTCTTTCTCTCTTTCTGTCTCTCTCTTTTATTCTAATATTTAAGAAATCTTAATTCTGTTAATTTTTTCCTGTTTAATTTCCTAATGGGTTTGATGTCACCTCACCAAAAAAAATATGTATTATTTGTTTATACAGAATTACTGTACTTGTAATTTTTAACCAGAGGATTCAGCTTGTAAAAATATATGGCCCAGTCAAAAGGAAGAGTTAATTATTGACACATAATTTAGTAATGAATATCCACCATAATAAGTAGTAGTGGCTGGATACTGTAGGACAGTTTCACTAGAGAAATGAGGGGAATATTGATTAATTTGTAATGCTAAGAGTCAAAGGCAGTATTATATCACTGCTCTATAAACTGACTAGAAATGTCTACTGGCCAAATGTGGCTAGTGTTTGATCCAGTAAATACAATGTGACTGTATGATGTAAGGAATGTATAAAATACGGTATTCAATATGACTAAAATTTTATATTAAAAAAATGTTTTCATTCATTTATTTTGACTAGAATAATATATAAATGGCAGACAATAGAGCAGCTGATCTTGGCCATCCATGGAAGCACTGCTGTGAGGGGAAGTAAAAGGGTATATCCCCCCCTTTTACTTTCATTTTCTTTGGCCTCATACAGCTGTACCACCTGCTAATCTGCTGTTTTCTCCATCTCAACATTTACCTTTTTAATTTTCCTTTTTTACCCCCCCCCCACTCATTATAGTACAGTACTATGTATTTGTTCCTTTCCTAATTTGCAAGTGCTTACGCACCACATTCGTCCTTGGCACTATTCATTTCTACGCATTCTTATTTCCGAGTGGCAGCTAAAGTGTTGGTTGCTTCGTTAATTTGATAGCCAGAGCTGATTATAGTCATCTTTTACAAACAATTTGAAATGTCTTGGTAAAAAGTTGGCCTGTGCCTGTCTGCTCAAGAGTGGGGTAATTCTCAAGAGGAAACAAGACATCAGAGATGTAGATTGTTGGCATGTGGACATGTCAGATTACGTAAAATGCATTGTGCATCTGCATGGATACCTATGACACATTTACCAATGAAAATATTCCAATGACAGTGATATGAAGACCACATTCTTGGCTTTTAACATGGTTGATGTTGCATTATCCATGGCTTCATTATTTGTATAGAGTACTGTAATGATAGGTACTCTGATACGTCTTGTGTTGATTTGAAACCAGGTAGCATTTATTTGATATTGCGCTTGCTGTCGCCTGATTTTTAGCTTTGTATGGCATGACACTCTCTTTATAGAGTGTTTTAATGCTGCCTGTTTTGGCTGGATATTTAATGAATGATGCTCACATGTTCAGCCTACCAGAGCCTGACACATATCATTGTGCATTGTTATACTTTGCCTGAAGTAGGTTGATACTGGATAATTATTACTAATATAATGTGTGATACCAAGAGTACTGTACTATAGTTAGGGAAAGATCCCAGTGAGGTGTTAAAAAAGAACTAATCTTGATTTGATTCCTAGTTAGTTATAGTTTGATACCTAGCTGTCTGATATACAGCCTTCAATTTACTCGATACTTGCTTCATTGATAATCATAGTTAAATTCTTAGCTTCTCGTGGTTAATCATGACAGCAATAGTTAAGTCCGAAGCTAAAGGACAAATGTCCTTTGCAAAGACATGCAAATCGCTGTTTGCTTTACAAATTAAACTATTGTTAGATATTGCAGTTGCTTATTTTCTTGTAAGAATGGATATATATTGGGTACAGTATTTCTAACACAATGGAGAGATTTAAATTAAAGCTATCCAGTGGTGATTCTGGCAATGCCATTTGGATAAACTTGCACAAGCAATCTACTAAAAGCCAAACGTAGGATTATATATAGTGTGGGGTGCTTGTTTGAGAGTGGGGCTGCGTAGCATGTACAGTAATGTGGTGAAGGGACGTGTGCTTCGTCTTTTCTCTTACCGCATGCAAGCGGTAGATAAGGTAATGATAAATAGATGTCTTGAGAATGCTTCATCATATAACATGAAATTTAAAAGTATTTAAATGCAAGATAAAATGTATGACTGCTGTTAAAGTTATGGAATGTAGTACAATGGTAAACTTTTGTGCTATCTTCAGACGGCCTCGTCGTATTAATTTGGAACTGACGACTTCAGATATCATAAAACTGAGATTTCGTTTGTTATTGGATATTGTATTCCAATACTCTACATGGAATCCCTACCTCGTGAAGCACAAGACGCTTGTAAAGTGTAGGGATAACAGCATGAAAAGTTCTTGAATTAAAAGAATCAAGCTACAAGGACAGGTTAATGCAACTAAAAATAACCTTGCTAGAGGAAAGGAAGAACAGAGTGGACATGGGCACTACTTACAAAATACTGGAGGATTGGGGTTAAACAAAATGGACAAGGACAACAACATTGAATTCTAATTGAATAGGACAAGGATATCAGTGGAAACTGAAAACTCTGATTACTACAAAAAAATAAGGAATTACTCCTATGCTGTATATGTTTTCAACAAGAGGTATTAACTGTTAAAAGTGATGGAAATTGCTTTTATCCGTATCTTCAAGAATCAAATGTGGTACAGACTTTGAATGTCCAGAGATGTACAAAATCTTGGAAGGCAGGGCAGAAAAGGTAGACTTCGTTCTCCATTGTCATTAATTGGAAAGCACTACCTGCTCATTCACACAGTCACCCTCATCTCTCTCTTGCATTGCACGCTTTTGTCATCCTCATCTCTTTCTTGCGTTGCACACTTTGTCACCCTCATCTCTTTCTTGCTTTGCACCCTTTGTCATCCTCATCTCATTCTCACTATTTATTACAGCTTGTTTTGTGATAGTCTGCATATTTATCATGCAATTATTAATTTCTAAGAATAAAGAAATCAGCAGGAGGAGTGTTGTCCCATTTATTTTGAAGGATAAATATGTCCATTATTCACTTCACATATATTAATAGCTATCCAGATTTGCAAATTACTCACACTGCCAGCTGTTCATCGACCCCCTTCCCCAGCTAGCTCCTTTTTTCCTTTTCACTCACACCACAAACAAAGTTTTGTTTTCCATACATAACTTGCATGCATTTTTATTGGATTCTGATGTTATTTTCGAATTTCATTATTCTTTCGTGGATGCTTCACAGGATCTGTTGGTGTGAATATTTATTGTAAAGATCTGTCATCAATTACTGGTGGTCATTTTACTTTTGGAAGTTGTGTGGTGTGTGCTGCATTATCATGAGGGGCTCATTTTTCTCTCTGAACCATTTTCTCTGCTACTGTTCTCTCTCCCTAACACCCCCAACCACTTTCCACGTTAATTGCCGCTCCAGCCATTTGCTACCCCGCTCCACACCCCATTGGGCACTTACATTTGGGGCTTCCCCATACTGTGTTCTCATTGGTGAATTTGAATGAAATGCAGCTAGAATCGACACAGAAAGTCACTATAGCTGGGGAAACACACACTCAGGTGGCGTGAATGGTAGAGCAGTGCTTGTTTGGTAAACAGACTGCTGGCCTCGGGTCGGACTTGAGGAGTAGAAGGACTCCCAGAACCCTATCAAGCAGGTATCAAGCCTCACTTGCCATGAAATGCCTTTGGTTTATTCTGAAATGACCTTCTCCCCCCCCCCCTTAGATATTGAATACTTGTCGTCCATATGCCGCTTAACCTTCCATCTATAATACTGGTGTATTGTATGCAGGGTATTTGTTATGCACATTTGTTGTGCTAAAAAATGCTTCTTTTTGGTAAATACTGTACTGTACTTTATTGTACAGTATTTTATAAGCCACCTCACTGGCTGTTTTAGCCTTATCACCTTAAAAAAAAATCGTGTTAATTCCTCTCCTTCAGCTTTTTTGTTTATTCCAAGTTGTTTTAATATTCTTGGTCACTTGTTAATGACCACAGTTTAACGTTCTTTATCGTTCAGTTTTGAGGCACACGTTTAATAGTATGGCTTGTGCAAATTATCCACCCTGATGCCACTTTATGAAGTTATACCATATTACCAGAAAAAAAAATGAAATACTGTATTTAAAATGTTGAAAAGCTTGAAGTGATTTATTATAATAGTTATTTTGTCTCCATAGAGTACTATATTTGTTATAAAAGTGTACATTAAACGATGAAATTCCATCGTAATGGGTGCGCTATTTAAGGCTGCGAAGTACAGTAGTTGTGTCCTGGGCCATGTACTTTATGGGTATGACAGTTCTTACTGGTTAACAATTATAGTCAGGTCTCCTCCTTCCTCTCTCCTTATTGTTGTTGTTCTTCAACGCCATTTTGTTTACATGATTTGGTGGGTGTCTAAACAAAAGCATCAGAATATTCAGGAAAAGGAGCCAAAGAGAGAGTTTATTAGCCACCCAAGCCACAAATATGAAAATTAAGGTGGTGTTGACGTTTCAGTCTGCCCTGAGAGGGACTGAAACGTACGTCAGTTGCCTTATTTTCAGACTTGTGGTTGGGTGTCTAATTTTCAGCCCCATTATTGTGACCTATTGTCTGGAAAATGTTTAATGTTATACATTAATATAATGGGTTAGCCCCCTTATTTACTTTGAATTCTGATGTTTTCATTTTTATTCAGCCCATAAGGAGTATTGATGAAATTGTCTACATTATCTAATAGTTTAATGACTTTACTAATAATTGAAATAAGTTTTTCTCTTTTTGGATTAAAGTAATTTCACTTTCCTTGAACATGATTTGCTTATTTATTATATTTTACTCATTTTTGTTTGGTGTTTCAGTGAAACAAATGAGAGAGCAGTAGACAATAATGCCTAGCTGAGCCTAAAAACTTTCCTGGTGTAGGTTGTAAATAGTCTTCACATTAGAATGGAAGCTTGTTACTTTAGCCGATTTTCTAATGGAATTGGGGACACACACATAAGCAGTGGGCAAGAAATGCATTTCATGGTTGCAGTTGTTAACACTAACAAAAAACTAACCATAAATTTATACTTAGTCATCAACATAGATGTTTTAACTACTGAGGAAATTTGTTTGCATGATGTTTGAGAGTAATGGATTCTATCAGTTTATATGAATTGACCTGCTCTCGCCAGGAGAGAGAGAGGAAAAACTAAATGAAGCTTTGTAAATATCATCAGTGTTGATCTCTTATTATAGGAGTGTTTTAGTGTTAGATAAAACCTTAAAAAATGTTTTAGAATACAAAAGGCCAGGTGATGTATGAGAAAAAGTACTCACTTTTACCCCGTCTTCTCCCTCACCCCAGCCCATGCCTTCGACTATTACGGTAAGTGTTAGTTTTCTACGTGGAACTCTACTCTCTCTCTCTCTCTCTTTCCCGCCCCCCCAAATATAAATAACTAAAAGCAACAACAACAACAACAACAACTTTCCTTATAACCACACAGTTTCTGCTCATCCTCGGCTGTAGCTTTTTCTATCCTAATTTCATTTTTTTGTTTTTGTTTTTTAGGTTTTTAAGTTTTGGTTATAGCTCCTTGCTTGCTGTGTGTAACTAGTTGCAATGTAATTTTTTTGTTTTGTTTTTATCTTTAAATGCCATAATGGGCATGTTGGCATTTGTAAGTAGAGGTTAAAAGACTTTTAAGTATTTATAACGATGAGCTTTGTCAAGTGCCGGGTTTGTAATTGTAATGAATGTTTAGTGTGTTGTGCCGGTGCTTTTTCCCTGCCTTCCTGCTTGTTTGGCCTTCAACGTGCCTTCCCGAGTGCCCTCTACCGAGCAGTTGTTCATGGAATAATTGTTGTTTAAGGAACGCTAAACAAGTTTTGTTTGGTGCATTGATTGATGTGCCTGCTTGCTTAGATGAGTTGTGTTTTATTTAGTTTTAGCCAATTATGTACTGTATTTGCGGGACCCTGTGACCTCATTAGACAACCCATGGACTTGACCTCCCCCCGCTGACTTGTACAGTGAACAGTTTCCTCTACCTTTACCCAATGTGTACCACCACTCTGAGGTTCAATAGACTCTGACTGAAAGACGCGTGTAACTTGGCCTTTCACATTTCAGTATTTTGCATAATTTTAATTTGGTTTTGGCTGACATTTCTTTTAAGTTTTCAATTGAAAATTGAAGATAGACAAAATTAGTTATTTTTATTGCTGGCTTTTTTTCAATTCTGAATTGTATTTTCACTATGCACACACAAATGCATCAATGTCATTTTAAATAAAATTGAAAGACCATGAAAAGTTTTGGGGTATTTGGTTTTTACACACACATTAGTTGTATTGAAAAATATTAAGAAATTTTCCCGATTCCATTATACCCCAAAATATTAATACACACACGACCTACTAGACACTCTCCCTCGTAGAACTGAATGCCTAGATAACAAGGAGCAGCAGCCATCCGAATCGCGCTCGACTCTGCTACTAAAAGTTCATTTCTCCGTGAGAATATTGAGCCGTCGTAGCTAAGTTGAGGAGGCATGACGGATGCTGCGTTACCTTGGGTAGTAGAGACCAAGTAGAACCCCAGGCTTACATCTCCATAGCCATGTCAGTGTAAATTCAGTGTGTAGCTTCTACCTGCCTGCATACCCTTTGAACCCATGTGTTTATTAGTGTTTGGAATACATTATTTTGAGCAATGTGCTTTACAATTTTTTTTTTTAGTTAATTTTTTTCATTGTAACTGAAACAAAAGTAACGCGTAACTTTTGAGAGCATTTCCTGCCATACGTGAATCTGTGTGCCACCAGTTTATTACTATTTATTTTTCTTTAGAATTTGGTTAGATATATTTTTTAAATTGATTTTTTGTTTTTGTTTTGGTCTTGCTCACTTTTTTTGCATTTTTGCTTGATTAGTCATTTTCTAACTGGCCCCCACTCTTAAATGTTGCCCCAGATACACACAGCTTTATTAGCCTCTAGGAGTCTTTGCATGACTGTCAAAAATGTAGACACTGTACAGGTGAATTATGCAGATAAAGTGCCATCTGTCAATTTTTGTCAGTAAAGCACACGATGCATGAACGTTTAGGTAAATATGGATCTGAAATCTGTGGCAGGTGTACTGTACAGTATATCCATGTCTTACTGATTGGCACACACATTATAAGTTCTCTGTTCCAGTGATCAGGACCCAAATTCTGGACTATTATGGCACTAATGAAAATAATAATGTAGCAAGTTAAGAAAGAATTTCCTTTTTAAAAAGTATATGGGCTTGCTCATAATTTTTCATAATTTGGGCCTGCACCCTAGTGTCCCAGTACTCTGAAGAAAGATTTCTTTATAGCGACAGAAAAATAGCTTTGGGAACCACAATAATGGATACAGAACCTTTGCTTCTTTCCTGGACATACGAATATCAGCCGAACCTCATAGTTTTGCGGGGTAGTGGCCTGTTGTCTCGGTTGAGTTCCTACGGGTTTACGAGTCTTGGTTGCACTGTGGATTTATTCGCAATGATTGTTTGAGTAGGCCCTTGGTCTAAATTTGTTTTTTTTTCTTTTTTCCCAATTCTAGGAGATGGAATCTTAGCTCAAATTCGATCTAAATACCACAGTATGCGTAAGTAAGAGTATGGTTTGTGAATTTTCCCTGATTGTTAATTCTTTTCAATGTACAGTATTGCTTAGTTGCTTGATAACCTGTGTTGAGGTAGAGAGGCATTAAAGCCGTCATCATGTAGCTTGGGCTGTCAAGGAATGAAGACAAGTGCTTGTGTCAACTCATAACAAGTTTATAAGCGGATGAATTGTCACAGCTGTAGTTAATTTATTTTTATTTTTATTTATTTGTTATTTTTGTTGATGGATGCAGTAATGAAGTTGCTGTTACAAAAAAAAAAAAAAAAAGTTGGGTAAATGACTGCTTGTCACTGAATAATTCTTCAGTTTAGTGAGTTGTAGCTTATTAATTTCTCCAAATAAGAGGTATATGGAATTTAATCTGCTTGTTAAGATTTACAAGTGGTCCACTCCTATTCCATAAGGTTCTGTATCCTAATGACTGCCGTCGCTTGTGTACTCATGTCGTCATTAGTTTGTGCAGTCTCGTTATAGTGCATGAGGCATGCCCCAAAAAAACCAAACAAGGTAACGAGTAATGTTCTCATGTTCTGTCCACGTAGGCTTGTTCAAAGCTGTGAGATGCTATCGACTTGCACGTTATCCTTCAATCATTGGCATATATTTTGTCTGATATTCACTGTGCCATGTATGTTTAATATGCTTCGAAAAAGGAATTGTAGATTAAAATTAACACTTTTAAGATCCTGTTGTACTGCTGGTTTTCCAATGTTAGAAAATAATGATTAACACTTAAAAGTTTTTGATCAAAGGTTAACATTTGAGAGTTGTTTTGTGAACTGATGTGGCTGTGAGGATGTTCGCTAACGGCCCACCATGGAGGTAGACTGACTTGGTCTTTTTTTTCTTCCCCCCACTCTCTCTTATACCCAGACGAATATAATCTAAACCCAGCGCTAGAATGGGATGATGAATTCACAGGTAGGTCCCATGCTCGTGGCTGCTTCTGCTGCTGATGTTAGTCATGTATGCTGGCTTTGCTTTCTTGTTCTCTGCTCTTCCAATATGTCTGCTTTTCATGTTTGTTGCTCCATGTCCCCATTATAATTTGTAAATATTATGTGTTTTATTTTCAAATGTTTGTGGAATGTATAGGTGATCAGTGCCAAAATTCTTGGTTCTCTCAACAAATGCTAACCCAAAAAACTTAATAATTATAACAAACTGGAAGCAATTTCCAATGGGCTGAGAGTGACCAATAGATTTGTTGCACAAGCAGACTCTTTTTTCAATTGAAACTTTGCACCAGTATCATTTATTCATATATTGCTTGTCCTTTTTTTTGTACCACCAAACTTTTTTATTTTTTTTTTCAACTTGCTTGATGCTTTTGTTTTGACCTTGCTTGTTTTCTCAATTGACGTGACTGACGCTGCAAACTGTAAAGCCTAGACTAGACCACTGGTTATCGCAGGCTATTGTGTTGTACTGATGTTGTAACTTGATATCAGGGCTAGATGATTAATACAGGTACTGTGTAAGAAGGACCTTTTTAAAAAACAACCTAACTTGTTATTGCTTGGCCTTGGTGAATGGGAGATTTATAGCCCCCCTCAGAGTAGTGTACGAGGAGCTAGAGATTAATGTAAATTGCTTTTACTAGCGTACGATTGTAATGTTATAACGTGTAATGAGGAGGCCATTGACAAGCCAGGGATAATTACCAGGTAGGGTTTGATCTTGCTAGTCCCCAGTATGGGGGGACTTGTATGGAACACAACCGTAAGCATGTACTTAGTGTTATAATGGTGTCACTAAATAATGAGGTCTGCTCCATGACTAACTCTGGAAGGAACGTACATGGTGGCATCATTGCTTTGGTGCAAGCTTGTTAATAATGCTTCATTTAATTGTTCTCCTCTGCCACTATAGCTTAACATTTAAAGTACACTTCTTGCACCATAAGCACTAATGGCATCACCTATAAGAAAATTCTTATTTCATTTACTGTACTAAGTAATATGGGAAAGTCCCATAGCTGCATTGGACAACTCTTTCTCGTCAATGTGTAGAGGAGTGCATGCTTACTTGTTTTATTATTTATTTATTTATTTATTTTTTTTTTTTGGTACAGTAGTACAGAGGTACATTTCAGTTCCCACCTTGGAACATGCGTTCACTTTTACGTATGCTCGTTGATTAGCTTGTTACAGTGGTGTTGGCTTGGATGTAAAGTAACCTTTGGATCTTGCACCTTTCTGTTAATAGTGTAGAGATTTTTTTTCTTTGGAGAGATTCTGAAGATGTTGTTAGGTATCAATATGTACTTCAGATAACTGTCAATATTTCATCTTTATTGACAGTATTTGAAATTAAGATAATAAATACCTTTTCTTGTATTTTGATTTGGTACAGTAATAGCATTTAACAAATGAAGACATTGGTATGCATTATGCTTATTTTGAGAAAAAAGGTAAAAATATTTATACAATTATAACTTTGCTCTCATACCCTTATTATGTTTATCAATGATTACTGCTATTGTCGATTTATTTCCTTCCATTGTGCAAATTCTTAACTGTAGTGATGCTCCCACACATGTATATAGTATATTTTCCCCCTCAGGTTAATGCTCCTGTATTAACCATGAATTTAGGCCCCTAGTCTATAGCTTGTGAAATAATAGATGTGTTCTATATGTGCTATAATTGAGATACATCACAAGTTAGTGCAGGTAAATACAGCCCTGTGAATGATGTTTGCAAGAATGGTAAACACTATATTAAGACAAGGAAAGATATTTATTATGTTATAATTATATATGTTTTGTCTAACTTTCATAAATTGACTAGTTTTATAATTCTTGGTGTGTCGTTAATACGCAAAATTGCCAATTTTTTATCTTTCGGTGTGTGTGTGTGTGCATATGTCATTGAAAACTGTTTATGTAGTCACTTTATTAGTAGGGAATATGCAGCCATTAGATAGATAGCTCTTTGTGTTCCCCCCACCTAGCCTTTTACATGCCTAAGTTGATGTGAGTTTAACGTGTATTTTAAAATAGGTGTTGATAATATTTTTTTTGTGTATAATTCGGCACATTTTGTGGACTCCAGTTACTGCATTAATGCGAGAGTGTATAATGTATTTGTGTGCGTAAACACGGATTAAAAATCAGGGTTTTTCTTGCTAATAATTGTTTAAGTATAAAATGTTGGTATGCAATTAACTTAGCAGGAGAGAGATTATGCAAAATTTGGAATTTTATTTTTCTGCTCATTTTCCTGTAGGTTTTCATGGCTGTTAATGCACTTATAATATTATTGAGTAAAGTATAACATGCACATTCTGATGACAACACATGTCATATGATACTGTTTATATTGTATGTCTCATAAGTATATTGAGCTTAATAGGTTGTGTGTTTAGCAAACCATGTATACCAGAACCCTGCACGACTTCAAATAAGTTGTCACCTATGACTTTTTACATTTCTGGTGGTGCTTTGGAAACCTAGTAATATTTGGTCCTGCAGCTTCTAAAGAATATTACATTTAAGCCCACCATAAAATATGGAAAAAAAGAGTAAATTTATTGATAATGAAGTTGTTACATATTGTGACATCTGCTTAAAAAATTCCTGATGTAGACTTTTGCAGGTCGTGTACGGTGGGTGGTGTTGATGCCGACACCCCACTGTATTGGTTCCGAGTTTATGGGCTTGTGGTGTTTGACACTTGTACCATGATTCAACCTGCTTCCTTTTTTCTCTAGGCCAGCTTTGGTTCGCTTGGCATTTTATGCTCCGTTTAAGCTATACCAACTGGCACATTCTTTTCCTTTCCGAGTTTGGGGGGTTTATTTAGTTCATTTGGGGCAAGTGTAAATTACTTGGCCCCCCTCATGTTTGGTTCCTTGATGTGGTTAGGGGGCTGTTGTGCACCACCTGTGGGTAGTTGTAGGTGACTTATACTTCCCTCTCCTGCCTACTGGGGTGGTGCACAAGTGAATTCTGCCCAAGTGGCTTTGCCACCCATGGGTTCACCTTGCATGGAGATCATTACATTCCCCGTTGTTCCTTCATCTGGTCATTGAGGCTACCCAGTGGCTGTAGCCTCTGGGAAGGCAACACACTTCCTTGGTGAGGGAATAGGAATCAAATGGGAGGTTCAGTGAGGCCTGCCTGAATTGTTCATCTGGCTTGTGCACCTGGTTAGACACTGGGTCTAGTGGGCATTGCAGGGCCAGTTTTCCTATCAGTTCCTGGGCTGCCATTCAGGCCCTTCAGGGGTTACCTGCATGTACTCTCCTTGTTACCTTTGAGGATGTCCGTGTGCTTGTACTTTCCCTGGTTGGGCTCTGTGGTAGATTTGGATGCAAGGCAGTGAAGTTCAATTAATGTTTCTTTTTTTATGTTCATCTCAACACATCTCTTCTTCCATTTAGGCTCGTGGGGGTGGGCGACCAGGGCCCCCCCCCCTCCCCCCCGGAGTTGGAGTATGATGGAAAATCGGGTTCCACTGCTCCGGCTCCGTTGACCCAAGTCCGAGCTTTGTCATTGACTCCCTGTTCTGAGTGTCATCATATCCCAGCCACTTCCTTGCCAGGGACGTCTCCCAAGTCCCCAATGGTGATTGACTGACTAGGTATCTTTACATTGAAAAAAGAAGTTAGATTGAGAAAATTGAGGAAACCTGGGTAGTGTCAAGTGAGAGTATGAACTGGTAGCAGTGGTTCAAATTGGAAAAATACTGAAGAAATTGAAAATAAGAGTAAATGGGCATCTTATAAATGTGTTATTCAGGTAATTTTGTGCAGTGTTTTTGTATTGGGTCCAGTGCAGTAGTAGTTTTGTATACTCACATTCTTGCTAGAGACATTAACAAGGATTAATGAGTGCCAGGAAGGCAAGTAAAAAATAGTTTCATCTCTTTTTTTTTTTGGGGGGGGGGGGGAAGTGTCATGTCCCTCTTTGCAGTCTTGTTTTGGCCTATCTCCCTTTTTGCAGTCTTGTTTTATCTAGGCTTGAGGGCCTAAATAAAGTTTAGTCCCCTCTCTTTTTCTGAGGCTTCTTTTCTCCCTACTCTTAATTAATTATATTTTTGGATACCCATGTTTATTGCTCAATTCAGCCTTGTGGCAAGCTATTATGGTCTTGTTTCATTCAGCATTATGGTCAACTGGGCCCACGTCAGGTCTTTCTCTGACGCTGTCGTCCCACGTACGTTCGGTGACTTAAGTGGAATCTTGCAGGGGTAAAAGGTATCATGGCCTACTCTGCTAAGCTTTGCCAACTTGTGAAATATGTGAATTGAGCAATCTTCATCATATGGCAGAAAACTAATACTGCAATTTGATGCTTGTGCATCATCAGAATGGAAGGGCAAGTTTGTGGACAAGGCATGTCACGTCAACAGAACTAGAGATATTAATGGATCGGCTTCAAGGATGTCAGTTTGAGTTGATGTCCCATCATCTTTTCATATAAGCAAGGCTTTAAATTTTGCAAAATGTTGCAACTTGAGTGCATGATCTGTGTACTAATGGTACTGTCATTTAATTTAATTTTTACAGTAGTCTGAAAAGATGTGCATTTTATTAAATAAAAATACATTTAATGTCTGTGAGTTTGGCACGTGGAAATACAGTAAAAATGCCTTCGGTTTGAAGGTAATATAAATGATTAAACCACTTGTGAAAATAAGTAATATGTATACTTCAGTTTACCATCTAGAATCTGTTAGTTATTTTTCTGAACTGGTATTAAACTTAGTAAATCTACACCTTACTTAGAATGATCCAAAAATGAGCTGTACATTAATATGTTAATGAAAGAAAAGTTAACAAATTAGTATTAATATTGTTAATTAATAATGGCTTATCAAACAGTATAGTTTGTGCTAATTCAGTCACTTCAACTGTTATGTACCAGAGTTGAACAGCCAAAGTATGCTAAGAGTTTTTCACATGGGGTGGTAATCTTTTTGCAATATTTCATACTTGATGCTGGTTGCAACTTCCTCAAAGTTACAGAAATAGTCATTTTATTGTCATAAAGATACTAGTTCATTTAAACAAATATCATTGCCATATACAGTACAGTGATGTAACATATTTCCATTAAAGGACTTTTCTGGAGGAGGTGATTGGTGGCTTCCTGTAGCTAACACCGAGATAGATCCACATACGCGCGCACGAGTTGCAACGGCCCCAAGAGTCCTCTATAGCCTGTTGGAGACCACAGCCAGAACCTGATCCATTCGGAGGCAGAGAGAGTAGGGGATTGTTACGATCACCCTTATCTAAAAAATGAATGTGAAGCAGACAACTGTGTGGTTCACGGGGAAACAATAAATAATAAAGCAAACGACTCTGCAAATGACACACTCGGTGGTCAGTTCGATCCCGTCTAGTTACAGATGGCCCACTGTTAGGTGGCAGCACCACCACTGAGAGCTCCTGGCACCCATGTCAACACAGTCACAGTTGAGAGGCGGGACCGAAGAGCCAAAGCTCAACTCCGCAAGAACAACTAGGCGAGTACTTCAGTCCCTTCAATGATGTCCAACTGTGTTGATTGCTGCTTGAGTTGCCAGCCTTAGCAAGTCCCAACGTTTTCTAGCCATGTTTGTTGGTTATCCTTTGGACTCGGTCCTGTTTGTTTTCACAAACATTTGTTTGCGTATTGTTTCCAAATAGTGTTTGCCTCGTTTGATAAGGGGTTACATATTACCATTGGAATGTATGGGCTGCAGATGGTCGAGTTGTTGGTATCCCTCATGTGTCATGGTGACAGTATGAAGTTCCTTGTCACCCCTTTTTGTTTCTTCGTCACTTATCTTCTGTTTTGATTCCTGTGGTTTTGTCCTTGTCTCTTTTTTTTTTTTTTTTTTATCGGCATCTTATGCCTGATATTGTTGCCTCTAATAATTTAGCCTTGTTGGAGTTGCTTATGTTGGTGTTCAGTGTCGATACTACTGTACTTCAGTAAAGTTTTGCAAGTTGTCTTGTGTCTTCTTCCACCTCTGGCCTACTCACTCTCCTTTTGCAGTCTTAGTGTCGGGACTGGCTTTTGTCCCCTTGGTTCTTGGTCGCCCCTTTGGTCCGTGAAGCATTTTTTTTGTTGGCCCTCACTTCTGGTTTTCGGGATGGGGAGATTCATGTTCGTCTCCGAAAGTGGGGGTTCTGTTCCTTCAGCACTGGTGGCCAGTTTCTGCATTTGCAGCCTTCTGTTTTCTTTTGTGGTGAGGAATGAAACAGTTGGTTTCTATATTTTTTATTTAATTCTTTGTTTGTTGACCAAACCCCACACTAGAAAGTGAAGGGACAACAACTTTTTGGTCCGTCCTGGACCATTCTCAATCGACTTGAGAATGGTCCAGGACGCACCCAAACGTCGTCATCCCTTCACTTTCTAGTGTGGGGTTTGGTCAGCATATTTCTGCCACGTTATTGCGACTTCTCGTCTGCATACAGTAATTCTTAGTTTGTTTGGCCAGGGGAGCATCACTTGTTGGATTGTGGATGTTCCTCGTTATTTGCATTCCGCATGGACTACGTACTTTGGGAAAGGCATTGTTCATTAATCCTGTTTTCTTGGTTCCCTGTTCCAAGGTTTATCTTTCTCAGATTGTTAACAGTGCTCCCCAATATGTCTTGGGCAGATAGCTGCATTTAGGGGTTTTGTAGGTCTAACAGGAGGCCCTGGTAACTTGTTACCTGGTTAGTGTTCCTGGTTCCAATTGGTCTTGTATTGCACTCAGTTTGGTTTCCTGCATTGTCTTCTTGAAGGGTTTAGTTTTTGCTCTCCCCCAACTCCTCCCGGGTAAGTTCACTTCCTTATTGTTTATGATAGTTGGTTACAGGGATCCGTCACTCATCCCCTCAAGATAACCAGCATTAAATGTTATGAAATGCCTCATTCTGGTTAGCCCTTGGTATCTCCCTGGGCTCCTACCACTCCCCCTACCAGATGTCTGTGGTCTTCAACTCCGTACTGAAGTGTGTTGACATAGAAGCCAGCAGCTCCCAGTGGTGCTGCCACCTAGCAGTGGTAAGCTGTAACTAGAGGCGAGTCAAACTGACGACCGAGTGGATCGTTTGCGGAGTCATTTGCTGCTTCACTTGTTTCACCGTGAACCATGCAGTTGGCCGTTTTGCTTCGCCTACTATCTGGATATTTCCTTGGCGAAGGCGATTTGTAACATTCCCCTGCTCCCTGCACTTCTTTTGAGTGGATCAGGTTCTAGCTCTGGTCTCAAGTAGGTTATAAAGGACTTCTAGGACTGATGTGACTCGTGTGGTGCTATTTCGGTGCTAGCTGCTCATGCGGAAAGACATGTTTCACTGTGTTAACGCTGTTTTTTTTTAAGCTTTGGCAATATTGGATATTTTAAGATCCCTCATTTTAAAATGTTTAATTTTTGACATTTTTTATTGAAAGACCTAGCTGGGTTAATTTGATTAAGAGACTAGCAAATGCTATAATTATCAAATGTCATGTGGTCCAGTTCTAGCATGGCTGGAATTGTGTGGTTTTAATGTGAAATGCACTAACTTGTTACAGCTATTTTTAGCATTAGCATAGCAACCTCCCCCCCCCCTTCCTTGTAGTCTCTCATGGAAGTACTTTGTGTCACATACACACACACATGTGGCACACAGTAAAAAAAATGTAAGTGTTTACATATATGGCTAATATTTTTTTTATGTCCATTTGTTTAAATAATAAGAAAAAAAATCTCTACTCTTACTATTTATTTTCTGAGATCTCTAATGATAAACTATCTGATGTAAACCTTTTGGTACCTTCTCAGTTGGTAAGTGAATGTTCTGGGATTCTTAAGTTTCTCTTCTATATACTACATTCTTGTCAATATTGCATATTTATCTCAAATCTCCCCCCCTGTCACCTTTACAAGATGGCCCATGTTTGGCAGAACACACCTTTTGCCTCTTCGTACAGCACAGTATTTAATAGTATACATGTTTGCTCTTAAATTATCACTTGTAGTATTCAGCTTTGTCCATATCAAATTGAACATTTGTGAAATATTTTTGTTTTTTTCATATAACATTGCACTCCTATTTATTTTGTTTTTTCATCTGATGTAAAGTCATAATTCTTCTAAGTATGCTAAGCTACTATTATCAAGCTGTTAAGATAGGCACTATAGGAAGTGTTGCACAATCCTAGGTATTTTTAATTAGTTGAAATGTTTACAAATATTTTGCCATGCTTTGCTACCTTTAGTTACGGAGATTCATGGATTTGTGACTGTTAGCTAGTTGTGTAATAGAGCATTGGAAGTTGGTGCAGACTTATTTACCATGTAGTTCTCACCTATGATGACCCGCAAGCTGAAGAGGAGGACAATTCACTGACCATGCTGGATACACCGCCAATATACGGAGGGGGCCATAACCGTCACCTGCCGCCAGGGATACTCCCCACTGGGATGCCTACGGTGCAAGATGTAAAGCCAGCATTAGCAACGGAAGCAGAGAAGAAAATGGAAGAAGAGAAGCCACAGCCACGTAAGTGTTTCACCTTGGAACTCTGGTTTGATTTGAAAGTTTTTTTCAAATATTTTATTTTTAAGTCTGGTGTTTATATGAGTTTGCATGAACGTGAAAGTTTCATACAGTATTTAAACGAGGGGCTTCACATTTAAATATTGGTGATTATTAAGCTTGCCTAAAATAAAAAGAGGATAGTCTGTAAATAAAATCAAACTATCTATGGATATGAATACAATATCAAACACTGAAATACTTTAAAAGTTTTAATTTACAGTTCTGTACATCAGTATATTGTACACAATTATTTATGTAAATTTTATATTTTTCATTAGGTTAAAAAACACTTTTGACATTACAGTATATGATGGGCCTTTATAATTTGGACACGAAAACACAAATGAATGACGATCAGGTAGTTATATTTTATCGAAAGTAACGAACCCTAGCTTGTAAGAATTGTAGCCTGCTGATTGCTTATGAATTATCATTTTGATACCAGCACGAGAATTGTCAGACGAAGAGAAACAGATGCTGATGATGACGGAAGAATTTCACAGTTTCTTTGATCGTACCACACGTGTTATGGAACGAGCCTTGGCTGAAGATGCCAACCTCTTTGTGGATTATTCACATGACTATGAAGAGGATGGAGAAGCGTATGTAATTCTTTTCTTTTAAGAACTACTAAATTCATGTATGCAGTAGTACAGGTACTATATACAGGTGTATATAAGTATGTTAGCCCTGTGTAAGAGATCTTAGTTAGAATTTAACCTAATCTTGGTCTATAATTATATTTTAAATTTATATACATTTATTTTTTTCTTAGAAATGAAAATGGCGGAATAAAATTGTCTTTGAATCGGTGGTTCTTCGATGAGAGGTGGTCTCGTAACCGTTGTATCACGTGCATGGATTGGTCCCCTCAGTATCCAGAACTGTTAGTGGCAAGGTAAGGAAAATTGACACTTAAATTAGACATTTAATTTCCATTTTTTTTCTGCTACATCTGGTATGTAAGAGGGAGCATTTTTTTGTTCATATATGAAGGTAAACTTTTACTATATTCCCTTGCTTCATATGCAGGGATAAATCTTCATCTTAATGTCTGTGGGTTTATCCGTTACTTTTGTTATTGGTGGTGTGCGTGTGTGTGTGTACTTTGTATTTTCCAAGAAAATAGTAAGGATTAGGTGTCTCACTGTAAGGAACAGGAAACCTGAAATTCCTTAGAATTTCCAGGCATATGATAGATTAAAATAAAAAATTTCCTCTGTGAGATCGGCCCATAGTGTGTGAAATATTAGGGCGTGAATGGCAGCATTCTTAATATGACTAATCATGTTTTAAATTATTTTCATTGATGCAACATTAAAAGAAATGGGTAGAGCTTTGGGAAAGCTATCAAGGATATTTAACCACTGCACTGCTCATAGTATCTTAAGGTGTTTGAAGGGTGGTGCAAACAAGTTTTGAATTTAGCAATGTTTTAATTTTTTAATTTCACTGTGAAATTAGAGGAAACAGCTGAAGCAAAGTATTTTCTTGTCTTAAAAAAATAGTTTCACAAATGCCTCCAGGTGGTATCTCGGTTACAACAAATCCATCACTAACGAATCAGAGTTGGTCCCATATAGTTCACAAAATCAAAATTGCGCTATACACTGTACATGGAAATATTTTTCCAAGATGGTCGATTGCAGTTCAGTACCTCATTAAAAGAAACTGTTTGATTTGCAGCCAAAGTTGAATGAATCAACAGGTTATGATTCTCTGTCTTCGCTCACTTGAAAACTTTAATATTTGGCCAATTCCATTGTTCACTCTTTCACAGGTTCTTAAAATACTTTAAATAAATAAATGAATGATATAGATGCGTCTTGTGTTAAATAGTTTTCTTCTCGCCCAAGTGCTTATTACCAACTTCAGAAATTATTGGAGGTTTGTGTAAATCATTGTACTTGGTGTTAATGACAAGACCACACACTAGAATGTGAAGGGACGACGACATTTCGGTCCGTCCTGGACCATTCTCAAGTCGATTGTGAGAATGGTCCAGGACGGACCGAAATGTCGTCGTCCCTTCACATTCTAGTGTGTGGTCTTGTCATCATACTTTAGCCACGTTATTGTGACCCATCGCCTACTTGGTGTTGTTATACGTTGACTTTCCTCAGCTACAACAATAATGAGGACTCTCCACACGATCCTGATGGTGTTGCTCTAGTTTGGAACACCAAGTTCAAGAAGGACACGCCAGAATATATCTTTCACTGCCAGTCCCCTGTAATGTCTGCTACTTTTGCCAGGTAAATACTATTTATTGTTTGTGGCTTACATACCAGGCTTAGTTTGTTCAACTTGAGTTCACAATTGCACATTTATTCGTCTTTTAAATAAATATTTTATTTATATTTTAACCCAAGGATATTTTAACCCTTGACTAATTTTGGCTGAAGAATATTATCTACTCAATATTTGTCAGTATAGCATGTTCTACCAGATTTTCATGAATAAATTTGAAACTTAGTAGGTATTATGTATTATCTCTCAAATATGTGCTTTCTTGATTGCTAGGTCAGACAAGATGATCTTGAATAGAGATCAGACTTAAAATATTTAGTGGGTTTTCTGCACCTTAGGTAGATTCTAAGAGCAGCCATTACTATTATGTAGTTCTTAAAGTGCTAGACGTTTCTCGTGTGAGGAACTACAATTAAAGAAATAGCAGTAATATTTGTGAAATATTTCAGTTTATATACTTGGCAATATATACACAATTCTTTGAATACAATTCTTTCAACAGGTTTCACCCAAATCTTATCATTGGAGGTACTTACTCAGGGCAGATTGTTTTATGGGATAACCGCAGTCAGAAGCGAACTCCAGTTCAACGGAGCCCCCTCTCCGCCTCTGCTCACACTGTAAACAATAACAGATTTAATACTGTACCTTATGAATTTGTATCAAATATTTCATGTTTTGCATATTAACATCCTATTGGAAAGGAAACAATTCACCTATGCCAGTGTTGTGCAACTTTGTATATTGGCATTAAAAAAATATGACATTTGAGCATTCTTTTGGCATTAACAAAATGTTTTATGCATATTTAGAGTGGGAGTGTTGACGTGATCTCTCTCTTTGTTTAGCATCCAGTGTACTGCATGAAGGTTGTTGGCACACAGAATGCTCACAACCTGATCAGTGTGAGCACCGATGGTAAGATGTGCTCGTGGTCCCTTGACATGCTGTCACAACCACAGGTTAGTGCTCGGTACTTATAATAATAATATAATATAATAATAATTTTATTTAGGTAAGGTACATACATAAAGAGATTTTACAAAGTTTGTTGGCCTTATAGATAGAGCTAGTACAAACAATGCCTAAAGCCACTATTACGCAAAGCGTTTCGGGCAGGTGATGAAGCAGGTGGGTGACTTCTTGCTTATCGATATTATTGAGTTGTGAACAGTGGTGAATTTGAGACAATACATTAAATTTGTTAATCTTTGTAAGCAGGATAATAACAAAAATTAATTAAATGGATAATATGGTAGAGGCAGATGATGTGGATTATGGATGGTAAGTGTTAGGGTAAAGCACTAAACCTGTATGACGATGTAGCACATTGATAAATGGTAAGAGTGAAACTATATATATGAAAAAACAGTTGGGGGGTGAGGTCAGAGTTTGGAAGAGCTCTGGTCGGGAGTAATGTGCCATGACGGAAGATAGTTAGAAATGGTAGAAAGAGTGACGGTAGAAACTTTGTTGATGGTTTAAAGTTGTTATATTTGGTCTTTGACACATCTTTCATCATCATTAAACTTTGAAGCAGATCTTTTCAAAATACCAGTCACCATTAAACTTTTATATTTTAAGGAGTCTATGGAACTGCAACACAAACAATCCCGGGCTGTTGCTGTAACTTGCATGGCCTTTCCACATGGTGATGTCAACAACTTCATCGTAGGATCAGAAGAAGGAGCAGTCTTTACTGGTGAGTGTTTGTGGTTCATACATTATGCCATCAGGTTTTCTGAGCTTCTACATAAGTTACCAACCACCTGTATGGAGTAGGAGAATTTCCTTGCATCTCTCTTGACTCGGTTGTGTATTGAACTCCACCAATGCTCCCTCTTACTACATCATTTCAATTTAAATAGGCTGGTCTTGTATACATTGTCTATTCCTCTCAGTAACTTGTGTGTGTAGGGATCATGTCTCCTCTATTTCATTTTACAGCTGAGATCTCAGAGTTCTATCACTAATTTTGTTGCAAACCTTTGCATTTAATGAGGTTTCCTCCTGTGCTTCATAAGGTGTGGTCTCCACACACGCTTCACACTAGCTGCTGCCTCCACCCCCATGCACTAGTCACTGCCTCCACCCTTCACATGTATCACCTCTGCCTTGTTGTGTATTGTAAAGGAATATTTGTATTCACATTCTCTTGCTTGGATAATAGACTAAGTAACTGTAGTGCTAATGAAAGCAGTGCTAGAAACAAGGACATTGGTAAAGAAACCTATTGTAATTTTTTCTTTGACAGTACTAAATGAGCAGATCTTCCCATCTCCCACATAATGTTTAGTTATCTTGTGCTCAAATATTAAAATTAAGTGTGTTTGTTATAAAAAGTTAAGCTCTGCATACTCTGTTGCAGACCTAATTAAAAAAAAATTGGGTACTAACCAGAAGGTCTTATAATAGTCGTGTTAGAACAGTTGCATTGTTAGAATTAAACAAGGTTTACAAGTTAAGAATATATCCAAATCTACTCCAGCGGAAGTTGGACTACATTAACGAGGTAATACTCTCCTTGCGACAGCTTGCCGCCACGGAAGTAAAGCCGGTATCGTGGATGCCTATGAGGGGCACCAGGGTCCTGTGACGGGCATAAGCACCCATTCAACCCCTGGTCCCATCGATTTCTCTCATCTCTTCCTTACTTCTTCCATTGACTGGACAGTCAAGTTATGGTCAGTGAAGGTAAGTATCTGGTGGTGAACGTTGCTGAGCTCTTGCATCCTGCTCAGTTTGTATGTTGTTTGTTTATAAGATGATGTAGCCATGAAACTTATAAGTTACTGAATTCACAAAATATAGAAAAAGATTTTGAGGCATAACACTAGGCTAATGGTAACTGCTGTATTACTAATTTGCTTTTCTTAATTGAATGCTTATTGCTTAGATAATACAAAATTTATATATTTTCATAGCATACATAAATTAAGAAGATAATTTGCACAAATTTTATTTCTTTATACAGTTATTACTAATGAGCTTTACTCGACTGCTATTGGCAATAATTAACTTCAAATTGTATTTAAAAGCTATTTATTTAGCAACTTTGGGTCTTTGTTGTGGTAAGCTTTGAACCTTACATATTAAAAGCTTCATTAATGCTTTAATAAAATACAAAAATAATTTGTTTACAAGATGAACATAGGTTGTGCACAGCATTCATAATATCTACATCTTTGGGCCCCCTGTAATATGCTTCATTTTGGGTACAACTAAAGCTAACAATTGACAAAAAGATGCAGACATTACAGCAACACTCGTTATAACAGGACAATAATAGCCATAGTACATGGATTTATGTCATGTCTGAAAATGTGAATCCTGTTTGATTAAATACCTCTTGAGCAGCCTGTCCTCAGGGAGGAAATCCCCTCAGGGGAATGGATTAGAAACGACTACATAATTGGTGCTATTATCTACACTATCCTGGGTTACTTTAGGATAAGGTTATGTTAGGTTAGTTTTCATTATGTTTGATTACGTTAATATGATTTATTATTGACGATAATGTTGTGGAATTCAAAAACTGTTTCAGGGTGCCTGCGAATTCCGTTTACAGAAAACCAAATTCTTCAAATAAAACGTTTTCAGCATACACTTTATATTTTAAACCAACTATTTCTATTACATTAAGGTTATAACTAGAGAATGATCTCTGTTTACGGCAACAGTTCATTTGCCAGCTTACGTGTAGACTATTACTGGAACAGTAACATGCTTTCAGACCCTCGCAAATATCTCGATAACTGTTCAGGTGGTTTGAGGGGGAGTTGTTGTTTTTCTCATGGTAATAGATTTAGTTTGAGGATGGGCTGTCTTGAGAGGTGGCCGTAGGATGCGAAATACTCCACCGTATTAAATTATTTTAAAAATTAACATTTTTAATATTCAATTAGTAATTTTGTTTGATTACAATTCTTTCTTTGAGTTTATATACTCCTGTATGTCAGCGGGGGTAGGAAGAGATGTAAATATGCCGTTAAATTTTGTTTAAATCGGCTTGAATATATTTTTTCCAAACAATTGAAGTTTTTAAAACTTAATTTCCATATCAAACCCTTATTCCTGTCCTCACATTTTCTAAAACAGTGACATAACATGATACTCTATAAACACATACATGTTTTATCATTTGATTTATCTTGTGTATTATGGAGCCTTTCTTACACGTATGTTTTGCATCTGAGCTTCATATTAAGAGCGTTACCGCCTTTTCCTTTGTTTCTCCAGTGGGAAGGTAACGGCACGGGAAAACTTTGCGAAAGGGAATAATATTTAACAGGAGCAGCTGTTGATGCATGATTTTATGTTCATATTTGTAACCTATGTTTTTCTTCTGCTCTGTTCATTTTGGGATGCGATAGCATTGGTCAATGAAGGTAAGCTGAGGTGCACTCTTAAGAGCTTGTTATAGCTCGGTGCCGAGTCTCAGTGCTGTGTTAAGCATGGGTGTCTTTTTTTCTCTTTTTTTGTCAATAAAAAAAAATATATATATATATTTATATATATTTTTTATTTCTAATACATTTTTAATTATAGAATAATAGCTTTTCCATAATATTGTATGGATTTTAGTATGAGAGTTTTTTTCCCCAAGGAATTTAATATGCTTTGGAAAAAATTAATATATAAATGAAATTTGAGGTTGCTCTATCTTCTACCATTTTTTAAATGACCCATATTAGCTGAGAGACCCTTGTTCTTAGACAAATAATGTAAATAGCTGCCATAGCATCCATATTAATGTAAGATAATTTTGTGGTTAGTTTAAATTATGCGGTGTGTGTGTGTGTATCTATGTATGTACTCACCGAGTTGAGCTTTGGCTCTTCAGTCCCCGCCTCTCAATCAACTGGTGTACAGTGTGTGTGTGTGTGTATATATATTAATTAACACACACACACACACGGGGGCCTCGTAGCCTGGTGGATAGCGCGCAGGACTCGTAATTCTGTGGCGCGGGTTCGATTCCCGTATGAGGCAGAAACAAATGGGCAAAGTTTCTTTCACCCTGAATGCACCTGTTACCTAGCAGTAAATAGGTACCTGGGAGTTAGTCAGGTGTCACGGGCTGCTTCCTGGGGGGGGGGGGGGGGGTGGTGTGAACAAAAAAAAAAAGTAGTTAGTGTAGTTAGTAAACAGTTGAGAGGCGGGCCGAAAGAGCAAAGCTCAACCCCCGCAAACACAACTAGGTGAATACACACACATTTGCATAATTTAAGCTAACTTGTATATTATATTATATTGGTATTATACTCAGTATTTTAAAAATATTCACTAAATAGCTTCTTGAAATATGATTTAATTTTGACAGTTAGATATAAACATTAACCCTTAATATTCTTCTCTGCTTATGCATGCTTGCTGCTTATGCTGGTTATTTGTGCGCAGTGTAGGACTGACTGACTCTTAACTTTGTCCTGGTGGCCATAATGTGCGACTGTCTCGCTTCTCAACACTTTAGGGTGATTGAAGTATAATTCTGAAGTCGAGACTTTATTTTTTTTAATTATCTAAATTGCATTGTGAGCACAATTATAAAACAGGTGCAGTCATGTGAATGATTCAATTACTGCGTCAAGTCAGAGAAATTACTTTTCACCGTTTTGTTAGTGTTTTGTGTGCACATATTTTTATCTGGTGGTACAAATACAGTAGCAAGTTTCTTTCTCATTTTGATACTAGAAGTGTGGGGCTCTTATCCCATATTAATGAATACTTTCAACATTTTTGGAAGAAAATAATTGTAATGGAATTCAAATATTTTAATATATACAGTATATCGATGTAATATCAAGATCTTTCGATGTATGGTCATACGATGCATGGTCGTACTGTATTTTGATGAAGACGATTAAGTGAGTTTGAATTTGTATGCAGATTTATGGGCATAACACTTGCATTCTATAACTCCTAATTGAAGCGTTACTATCAAATATTAAATAGCTTCTGTTTTAATATTTAAAATCTTTCCATTCTTGCTTTTCATGTTTCATAGTTTATTTAAAGGTGTAAATATATGTAATTACTACTGCATTATTTTATATTTTATTTTTTTAATATTATAATTTCCTTAATCCTCTTGCAGTTAATGGAAATAAATGTTTATTCAAATCTAACAGAATTCTGAGAAGAAACAAGGTATATTAACCATGATTGTTAAACATACAAAATTATGTACTTCAATAGTTTTTATTAATACAGTACTCATTCAAGTGAAACTTCAGTTATAATTTTTTACTTTAACTCTACTCTATTAAATGTATCACAATTTAAAACAAAACGGCAATTATTGAATAACAATACACGATTACTGTCTATCATCATAACACTAACTGCAGTTGTGATACCAAATGATTGTGCTGTTTTTATTACAGGAAACCAAACCACTGTATTCATTTGAAGACAATGGGGATTATGTGTACGAAGTAGCCTGGTCACCAATCCACCCGGCTCTCTTCACTACGGTGGATGGCTCGGGGAGAATCGATCTTTGGAACCTGAATCAAGATACCGAGGTAATGACTGTTGCTGGTTTCAGTGATATGCTGAAGTACCTACTAGCAATAACTGTAATGATATCTTGTTTTCATCTTCATGCCTTAATACTTTACATGTAAATTGTTCCTGATTATGTTGAGTAGTTTGTTGCTTGGTACTTCATGTGGGGTATTTCGGTACTCCATGTGGGGGAGCTTTTGTACTTCATGTTGGGTTACCTGGTTGATACCTGGTTGATGGGGTTCTGGGAGTTCTTCTACTCCCCAAGCCCGGCCCGAGGCCAGGCTTGACTTGTGAGAGGGTATTTCCTATGGGAGCATAAATTTCTAAATTTACATATTATGCCCCTCCAAAATATGCTGGTTGATGTGCATTCACAACTTTAATGACAGCTTTGAATGTGCATGGAAATCTTCATTTGCAAATTGTCAAGTTTTCTTTCACTCGTCTACAGATTTTTTAACATACTTTTTTTATTGCTGTATGGTGTATAGTTATTTTTAGATTTTCAAAATGTTTAACTAGGCATGAATGAATAAATTCATGCTAGATTCCATTCACTGTAGCTGAAAATTCATTGCAGAGGAAGATTGGCATCTTTTAATATTTTGCTTTAATTGAAATGATAGAACATGCTTTGTGCATTTTGTTCATACAGTATTCTGATATCAAAAACTCGGGAAAGGTAAATTTTATAATGTTTTGCCAAATCTTTTCTTTAATTTTTCGTTTCCACATTCTCAACGTGATTGCACTCAACTGGGCAGAAAGCACTCGGTCAAGAGTTTAAGATTTTCTCCCGTTGTACTGGAGTTGCTGACTAGGTTGACTCATATCTGGCCATCCACCACCCTAAGATCACTAAGAGTGAAGTCTCTTTTTAATAAGAGTTTGACTGTATTCCAACAGATAAATTTAAATTACATGGGCTAATCAATCGGCACAGGACAGTTCCTGTGCTGAAATATCTTTGTATAAAAATAGGGTGGGATGTGTGTTCATATAAGTACATATGGTGTAGGCTGTAGGTGGTGGTTACAGATGGTGTAGGTTGGAGGTTGTGGTAGTTACAGCAGTGATGTAGGTGAGAAAGTGTGTGTGGTTATGGTGGTGAAGGGTGCTTACTTTATAACTTCAGTTACAGGGCCAATGTATAGACATTTTTGTGCAACTGCTTTTATTCATTTTCAAGGTACAGTATTGCTCAAATTTTATATTCCTTCACCCAATAATGTTGAAATGGTTTAAAATCTGTTACTCTGGGATTACAAGGCCTAATGATCAGGCTGACTCGTACATCAGGCCGCGAGCAGCTACATCAAACAGCCTGATTGATCAGGCCACCAACCAGGAGGCTGGGCCATGGGGATGTTGATCCTCGGAATCATTGACAGAACTGTACAAAATCCATAAATATGTAAACCTACCAGGAATACCTCATAAGTGGAGCTGTGTAAATCAAAATACACATAATATACAGTAATATTTTATCTGCAAATTTAATAGGTGATTATATATAATTGAATAATGTGGATTTAATTTTTTTTATTTCTATTATAGGTGCCAACTGCTAGCACAGTTGTTGAGGGCAGTCCAGCATTAAACAGGGTGTCTTGGACAAATTCTGGTCAACAAATAACAGTTGGAGATGACATGGGCAAGATCTGGATCTATGATGTTGGAGAGGTAAGAATGATTTTTATTAACTGTTTTCATTTTTTGTACTACCCCCCTCCCTTGCCCCTGAGTCCCACACCTTGACTGCCATCTCATTTTGGTCCCTTACTGGTCCCTTACAACACATTAAAGCCACATTTAATTACAAAGGAAGGAAACAACACAGAACTGACGTGCTGAAGCCCCAGTTCAGAACCTTCACCAGAAGTGTAGGTTCACATATTAACCACATTTTTTTCACAGGTTCTTGAGCATGTAAGCTATGACTAAATAAATTAGAAGTACAGTAGTATCTTATCAATAAGTGCAAGTAAACAAAAATTAACCTTTCTATTTTTAATATATCATAAATTGTCATGTTCTGTGTATTCACCCACGCTCAGAATTCACCAGAGTGAAGTGGATTAATTCTCCTGGAGAATTAGACTAATTTCTTGCCCCCTTCCCTTCCCCCAAAAAATTAAATGGTAAAATTAATAATTTCCTTCTATTTTTTTTAGCAACTAGCCTTACCACGTGCAGATGACTGGGCTCGGCTTGTTCACACTATGGGTGAGCTTAAGAACAACCAAGCTGATGATGACCAATCCACTAGACACTATGACTCGTCGTTTTCGTCGCTTACGTCACTTTCGTCGTCTCCTCTCAGATAAATTATTGCTGTGTTATCTATTCTGAATTATAGCCACTTAAATAATTGGTGTTAGGACATGATTATTAGTCTGCAATGATAAATAAGCAAGGGATATAAATTTAATTTTGTAATTTGCAAATGGGTTTACAATACCAATATTACAGTAAATCAGGCAGTGCTTGGAATTGTATTAGGGGTAAATTACGTAATAATGCACAGTAGTATGATGTTATTGTGGTATATAAAGGAGTATTTATTGATGTGAGGTGTGTAATTCTGGTTAGAACAAACTTTATAATCTCGATCGTGCAGGTCATACCCAGTATTGCATTGCTGGGTCTAACAGTATGAGTATACAAAGAAATCACACTAACGTGATGTATATCGATGAGAAAGTATGTTGGAGCACCGAGGCAACCTGAACCAATGATGAGGGTATCCCAGCTGTGCACCTTACACCATGTTGCAGTACAGGGGTAAGTTATGCTACTGTACCTGGTATTCCACTGAATCCACAGGAAATATAGAGACCAATACAAAATCCAATTCAAGTTTTACATATGACATGTACCCTGATGTAGGTAAATTCCAAGTTGTATAAGTTATACAATCTGGGATTTACCTACACCAGAGTGCATGGGGGTTATATGTAAACCTTGTGCTTGAGTAGAAGCCACCAAACTGATGTGGATTCAGTGGAATACCAGGTAGTATAACTTGTGCCATATCAAGGTACAGGGGTAAGGTGTGCTACTGGAGCATCCTCATCTCTGGTTTGAGTTCTTTCAGTGCTCCAACTAATTTTCTCAGTGTCATGAGTTTTGTGGAGTACCTCTGTTGAGAGGATTGTTATTTGCCAAATTTAATTAATATAAGCACAATTTAAATATTGAGCAGCCACTGTAAAATAAAAATACAAGTAGATTGGATATTTTTTTATCCCAATAAAATTGTCACCTATAATTGTTTAATAATATCTTCTCCCTGTACATACTGGAGAGCTGATAGATGGGTATGGAGTACCAGTACCGCCCACACGATGGAGATGGGGTCCAGTACTGCCAACAGGAGGATGGGTATGTGGTTCAGTACTGCCCACAAGATGGGTATGCAACCCGTTCTCGCACTTTATCTGTCAATATTGACTTATTAAATAAGTTCATATGTGACACTAATTTATTGTGAATATTTTAGTTTACCTTGAAAAGCATCATAAAAAACATTGACATAGTATGTTATGTCAACGTTTTTTATGATGCTTTTCAATGTAAACTAAAATATTCACAATAAATTAGTGTCACATATGAACTTATTAAATAAGTCAATATTGACTGAGAGAAAGTGCGAGAACGGGTTGCATACCCATCCTGTGGGCAGTACTGAACCACATACCCATCCTCCTGTTGGCAGTACTGGACCCCATCTCCATCCTGTGGGCGTTACTGGACCCCATACCCATCCTGTTTTCGGTACGGGACCGCATACCCATCCTGTGTTCGTTACTGGAGCCCATACCCATCCTGTGTTTGGTACTGGACCCCATACCCATCCTCCTGTGGACAGTACTGGACCCCATACCCATCGTGTGGGTGGTACTGGACCCCATACCCTATTGTGTGGGCGGTACTGGACCCCATACCTTATCGTGTGGGCGGTACTGGACCCCATACCCTATCGTGTGGGCGGTACTGGACCCCATACCCTATCGTGTGGGCGGTACTGGACCCCATACCCTATCGTGTGGGCGGTACTGGACCCCATACCCTATCGTGTGGGCGGTACTGGACCCCATACCCTATCGTGTGGGCGGTACTGGACCCCATACCCTATCGTGTGGGCGGTACTGGACCCCATACCCTATCGTGTGGGCGGTACTGGACCCCATACCCTATCGTGTGGGCGGTACTGGACCCCATACCCTATCGTGTGGGCGGTACTGGACCCCATACCCTATCGTGTGGGCGGTACTGGACCCCATACCCTATCGTGTGGGCGGTACTGGACCCCATACCCTATCGTGTGGGCGGTACTGGACCCCATACCCTATCGTGTGGGCGGTACTGGACCCGATACCCTATCGTGTGGGCGGTACTGGACCCCATACCCTATCGTGTGGGCGGTACTGGACCCCATACCCTATCGTCTCAGACCCTGTTGGAATATAACCAGTCTGTCAATCGGGTCAACCCAAGTGTTGCGTTTCCATGCGTTTCCAAAAGGGTCGCCCATGTTGGAATCGGTGAACGCCCTAGTAATATTGTTGAAAACATCTTAATAACTTATTAAACCAAAGGTTTTTTCATGTCAGAAGAACGGCAGAAACTAGATCTATATATGAAAACTCTTTCAGGACAAAATGTAAAGTAAAACTAAAGATATTTGTAGTTGTATAAAAGTTGCATTTTTCATCGGTCGTAGAGCCGAAAATCCGCAATATTCATCTCAGAACAATGCTTATTTCACGCAGAATCGTTAATAAACGTAAGATTTTTATACGTCTCAAGAAAGATAGAAACATAATCTTCATTTTAAATGCCTTACCATGGGCATATTTGTATTTAAAGCGAAGATACGTGTATTTTCAAATCAGCGAGCTCCGATCCCGCACAGATCGAGCAACGGAGTAACTCTCTCTCAGAACAATGCTTATTTCACGTAAATTCGTTAATAAACGCAAATGTTTTTATATGTGTTGAGAAAGATAGAAATATAAGCTTAATTTTAAATACTTTACCATAGATATATATAAAGTTCTAATGAAGATACATGTGTTTTAATAATCGCCGAGCTCCGACCCCGCACAGACTGATCGACAGAGCAACTCTCTCTCAGAACAATGCTTATTTCACGTAAATTCATTAATAAACACATATGTTTTATATGTCTCAAGAAAGATAGAAATATAAGCTTCATTTTAAATACTTTAACATAGACATATATAAAGCTCAAGTGAAGATACATACGTTTTTATAGTGGCATTCAGTAGCTTGTCGGTCATGGAATGCAGAAGCCTACGCACTTGCCAATATAGTGTGTAATTAACAAAGATACGCTTATAAAGCCTAAAATATTATATGCCTTCAGAAAGACAGAGATATGCTCGTTATTGTGAGTGCACCAAAGGAAATATATCTTGTTGGAGGACAAAGATATATCAATTCTAAAATAAGTTTCGACTCTCGCTCGGGCGAGAGATAGCGCGACTTTCGCCCCATCTATTGGGGATTCTGTTCACCTAATGACCCAAAGCTACTCAAAGCCTCCAAGCATTACTTAAATAATGAAGAAATATGGTATATTTATTCACTATAATGTTGGTGCTTAATGCAGAACACGAGAAAACATATATTTACTATAAAATAATATACTTCCATTATGAAATAAGTAAATATGTGACCTCATAGGAAGTCAACGGTCCAGGTGTCAATGTTGTGGAGCGACTTATCCAAGATATATTGTTGTCTGGAAAGTGGCATATCAACCTTCTGTACATAGTGATCCAGTCGTCGCACTTCTCTCCTTAAATGATCGCAAATTTAGTTTATTATATTAACAAGTAGAATACGTATTTCTAATAATATCTAACATAACTAGCCAGAAAATATTTAAGACTTATTGAAAAATACATGTCTGGAAGTTAAATCGACTTCATAGAACAATAGTGTTGGTCTATACTAATCGTTATTCGTTAGTATGCGTTCGCTACTTAAAACATTTACTGTACTGATGTAAAATCTCCCATGTCTCTTCGCACATGGAACACCGAACCTTACACACTCTCTGATATATTGTTTAATTAATAGAGATTCACTAATAAAGCTTATAATTATATATGTTATCAAAAAGGCATAGATAAAGTCGTTCTTACGTTTTAGTCACAGATATTAGTAAAGTAAAGTTCATTTTATTCAGGAAAGTACATAAATAGTCGATTTACAAACATAATATTGGATTTATAGATAGAGCTAGTACATACAATACCTAAAGCCACTAGTACGCATAGCGTTTCGGGCATATTATTGAGAGAGGAAAGATATTTATATTTAAACTATTTTTTTTTTTACCGACGCTCTCCCTATTGATGAGAACTACAACCTAATGAAGATATATGTTAATTTTATGTAGATACTGTAATAAACGAAAGTTTTTAATGTCATCAGAGAAGCAGAAATATAGGCAAATTTTAAATCCCTTGTCATAAATATAACTGAAGTGAAAGCAAAGATATATGCATTTTGATAGTTACAAAGACAGCTCTTTAACACGGGTGGAACACGAACAAGGGGAACTTAGTACCCAAATGAGCCACAGAGATATTAGAAAGAATTTTTTCAGTGTCAGAGTAGTTAACAAATGGAATGTATTAAGCAGTGATGTGGTGGAGGCTGACTCCATACACAATTTCAAATGTAGATGTGATAGAGCCCAATAGGCTCAGGAACCTGTACACCTGTTGATTGACGGTTGAGAGTCGGGACCAAAGAACCAAAGCTCAACCCCTGCAAGCACAAATTAGGTGAGTACAACTAGGTGAATACAGCTGAGGGGCGGGACCAAACAGCTGAAGCTCAATTCCCTACGCATAACTAGGCGAGTCCATAGGAATTACCGTTTGTCCTGGCGCCATCTATGTTTTGACAGCAGTACTACTAATGTTCCCACGTTATGTGATGATCGCTATACGGGTGTTACGGTCAGTTGCTCTTCTATATATGTTTATGGACAACGTAGGTGATTTGAGGCAATTTGCGGCCAGAGTGAAATAGTATCCACGCGGTGAGTGATGGAGGAGGATATATACTGCTGTGTACTCGACCAGCGGGTGAGAGGTAAGTTATATCGAACAATTATGGGGAATAGATGGGTTATTTTAAGCGTAGAATGTCAGGTAACCGGTAACTACACAGATGGGGTAGTGTTTTTTTAAGTCTTTATTTACTAAAGTGGAACATTACATTATGCCTTTAGCTGAACAAGTCTACTGGTGGGGGAAGTAGACGGGTTTTATGAAAGTATTTTACCTAAATATTTGTATTTGGTTAACTAGTTCAGCCGTTACCAGGGAGGGTGTTCCTTTAATCTAATCTAAAAATTCTAGCCGGACAAAGTGATTAAATAAAGAAATTGAATAGAACGAAGTGGTTTGCCAGGGTGCTTAACATTTAGTTTAGTTCACTTACTATGCAGCCCATGCTTAAAGAATGCAAGTTTATCATATTGAATTTACCGTAGTTTTACTGCATTTAATATACCGTTTTTACCCTATTTAATTATGTCGGGTAAAGGCCGGTCGTGGAAAGTTCCTAATATAGCAAGTTTTAAAGGAAAAGTTTGAGTTAACTTTAACGCTTAAGTTAGTGACCAATTAGCTTAGTCTATTGTGATGAAAGTTACTAGAATCAAACATTGCAAGTGCCATTTCTCTAATCTTTTTGAGAAACATGACTAGATACATGAATCGCATAGTTTTATTACTAAATGTTCATGGATTAGGTTGCATAGTTGAGGAAATAGTGATAATGTTTGTGATTTTGTGTACCTTGACTTCAGCAGAGATTTTGATAGTGGCGCAAAATTGATAGTGGCTCGGATCATTGGGAATGCTGACTGAAGTTGATTAGGTCATGGCTATACCAAAGGAAATTAGTATAAATGGGGTTAAGTTGGGAGAAGTGTTGTAAGTAGTGCCTAAAAGCTCTCCTTGGACCTCGGTTATTCGCAAGATTATGGTTTAGACCGCAATAGTTGCAGAATTGGCAAATAAAAAATACCGATGCTCTATATAGTTTTGAAATGGTTAAGACTACCAGATGCAGTTTAATGCTGACAAATGTAAGGTTTGAGGGCTAGGTAAAGAAGAGATAGATGGTGTAGATTGTTAAGAGTGTTAAATTTTTTGCAGGTGGTAAATTGTCCTCGAGCTG